CGCGCCCCCCTGGAGGGAAATTATGCATAATTAATAAAACCGCGTGTAACGAGGAATCTGCGTGTGCTGCGCCGCAGCAAAACCGCGTGTAAACACGGAAAAACAGTGTTTTTTTATTAATGCCCTAGCAAAATCTTGAAAAATCTAAAAAATCTAAAAAATCTGAAAAAATCTAAAAAATCTGGAAAAATCTAAAAAATCTAGAAAAATCTAAAAAATCTAGAAAAATCTAAACATTCTAGAAAATGTCTAAAACATCTGGAAAAATCTAAAACATTTAGAGAATTTAAAAAATCTGGAAAAATCTTGAATTTTTTTACAGGATTTCCCTAAAATTTACAAGATTTCCCATCTGGGAAATCATGTCAGGGATGATGTGATCCCATGAAAGACCATTAACTAGGTAATTTTTTGATGTAAATTTTCCAGATTCCTTGGGTGAAAATTTTATTTTGAAATCACATCATCAACACACAAAGCGTATGGAAGATAATGTGAGTGATTTCCTATGATACAAAAAGGTTAAAAATCTGATTTCTCTGTCTAATGTGGGTCATCAATCAATTTAGAAGCAAGTTTTACCCAAGACATGCCCAGTTTGTGGTATGAATGGTAAAATAAAAGAAAATGAACCATGTACAATTTGCAAACAAGACAGTGTAAGAAAATTCTTCAAATTCTTGACCAAGAAAGAATCTTTAAACCTATGTATCTTATATCATATAGTCAAGTGGGGGCTTACCATTTTTACCATACTGTGGAAGCAAAGAGGGCTCTAAAAGAGGATCAATGAATTGGAAACATGGTTCAACAATTTACCGTTGTACAGAATGTGATTTTGAGTTGGATGTGATTCATTGGTTATGAACTGCCAACAGTAACTAGCCCACCAAGCTGGTGGAACTGATCACACAGATGCTTATACCAGCATGACTTCAAAGCACATGGTTTGTTGAATTCTGGGTGGAAATTTGTCAGCCTCTGGGTAACTAACCTGAGTGTTTAGTAGTAAAAGGTTGTTACTATGAGTTGACTGAAGTGTTTGAGCGTGGTGAGTATTAGGTAGTGGGTGATTAATACCAGTCCTGTAAAGAGGAGGTTTCATTCTATCAGTATGGTCTTTACTGAGAGGCTTGCTATCAACAGCGCATCCAGATCAATACAGGGTATTAATAGGCATCCAGGGTACTAAGACTCACCTGGGATTGATTTGGTTATTCCCACAAGGGAGTGGGCTAACAATACTTATTAAGCTTTAACAAAATTAGTTGAAGATTAACAGGCATTGTTGATGGGAATATTCAGCAAGGCTATGAATACTGTGGATAAGTTGAGTAAGAGTACTGAAGCTTAAGAACAATAAATGTAGACAAGATTTATGTTGGTTACGTGTACTGTATCAATATAAATGTTAACTGGTTTAACTGGTGTCTGAATATTCTGGGGATTAATCATTGGACGTGGCACTGATTATAAGTTCCAGAATATTTCATGGGGAAATGGAGAAGTGCTCTGGATAACGGGTAAAAGTACCATGAGGGAGAGCAGTGTTAATTGAGTAACTGATCTTTATTTGTAATGATCTGTTATAGCTGTCATAGTATTTACTAGAGGATCAGTAAGTGGTACTTGTGATGTGTACAGTTAACAGATCCTTTCAATGAAATAACAAATAAAGATCTGTGCATGTATTGATTGTATTACTTCAATTGTTACACAATGATATGCAAACAATACATGTACATTTTATTTGTAATGATTCTTGTCCGTGATGACCTGAAGGACAATGATAATTAATGATGAAGCCATTATTAAGATCACACAAAAAATAATGAGGTCATTATTAATATTTAGTACATGTATTGATTGTATTTATTCAATGATTAATTGATACTCAGCATTCAAGGCATGTACATATTTCTTTATACAGGTATTTTACCGTGAAAATACTGTAGAACTGGGATAGCATGTGGTACAGGTATTTCACGGATAAATGAGTGAAAGGCAAGTGATAATCACTTAAGTATGTAATCTGTACGTATTTAATAGATAAGTAATTAATAAGATAAGATAAGTGAAATAAGATAAGTTAAAGATAATTATTAAGATAACAAGAGGTAAAGGTAAACAACATTATGGATAAGTACTTATGTACATAAGTACAGGTGTTGCAGTTACTTGGTACATGAAAGGTACTGTGACATGTACTCTGTGTCTGACAAATTTCAAGTGTTTGATCAACTCCTTGAGAGGTTTAGATAACTTTCATCCTCAAATTTCAAAACAAATCCATTAATGCAAAAATATTGAAAAAATAATTCATAAGTTTTTCAGGAATTCTGAATGAATTTCTTTTCTTGATTTTTAATTATGATTATCTTGCACCATTTGCCCTACCTCAGTAGTGGTAATTGCAGTATAACACATTCTTCACCTCAGTCTAGTAGTTTTTGCACCTTGATTAGTAGTCTCATGATCTGAACCATTCTAGTTTATAAATATAGGTCACATTAAAAAATTGTTCTTGAGAGAATTTACTATTCAATATTGGTGTTATTAATTATTCATAACTCTCAACCAGTCTATATCAAGATGGCCTACATAGGTAAATGAATCAAACGTTCTCCTCCTAAGTGATCTTTGCCACCTAAGCCCTAGTGCCCAACCAGATGCAAATTTGACTTTTCCAAATATCTTATTGTCTCTCCTAAACTCGTCTATCCACTTTGGAACAAGACAGGGATCATCAATAGTCAATTGACATGGTAAAAAATTCCTATTGACTTCAAATGGGTCCTCAATCTTCCCACTCAAGGTGCACTCAAATAGGGGTCAACCCACAACATTGGTGGAAGACTATCCAAACCATTGAAAGCGTAGATTAAATCTTATGAAAGCATCTTTCTCTCCTCTTAAGAGTCACCTCATCAACCAATAGACTCACTACTTCATCATGTGTCAAAGGAAGTAACTAACACCATTCTTAACTGTCAGCTCTGGTCTCTTATGTGACCTGGAGTTGATGGGAATTTGGGTCGCACTATAACCACAGAGGTGGTCAGTGGAAATAAACCTCAATTCAACACTTACAAAGTGGAAGATATAGCTTCTAGAGATAGCCCCGGCGCATCTGGATATCCGGCTGCTTTTTCCCGGGAAACAGCCATCTGCAGCCGCTGGCGGGTATCCCCTGCCTTAGCGGGTATCCTTGGATAACTGACCTTTAAAGGGCCGGAGAGGCACTGGCTGGAAGGGTTTCCTTCCAGCCAGTGAGGTACATCCTTGCCAACTGGAAGGACCTCTCCGGCTTGAAGGAAACCCTTCCAGCCGGCCATTGGCCTTGGGTATCCCTGGGCATACCCGGATATTGGCCAGATTTGGGGAGGGGGGGGGGAAACAGCCATCTGCAGCCAAATCCGCATCCCCTGGTGGGTATCCGCCAGGGGATAGCGGGCATCCGCGAAGGATACCCTGCGACCGACCATCTCTAATAGCTTCTTAAAATAATAAGGGACAACAGTGGAATGAGCTTCACTGTTCCTGGAATCCTGAGCTGATGTCTATAAGTGAATAATTACATCTTATAGACTAGTTGTGAGAATAAGAGAAAGTTTACTAAGGGTTGGTGTGTGTGGGGGAAATCTTTGGTGTTCAAAAAGGTGGAACGTTTTGATATGTGTTTTTAGGCAGTAAAAAACTCCTCAGTGTATCTTTCAATAAATACAGGCAGAATCAAGTACCTAATTATTGTGATGTTGTCTTACAAGCTTGGAAAATTCATCACTGTGAAGTTGTGTTTTGGACTGTCCTCAAGGAACTTTCCCTTCCATGTTTTGCAAGGCTTTGAATGACTGGGCTATATTTGTAAGAGAACCCTTATAATTAGATTCACATCAGAGCTGATGTGAGGTAAATTCCCTGCAAAAAAAATGACTTGCAAAATTCTCCTGCCCCATATCCAACACTTTCCAGCCCCATTAATGTGTACAGACCACACCACAAATCAGCTTAAGAAACTAGATCTCAAATCTTAACCAACAGCTCAATAAAGATCAGCAAATATCCTTGTTTAACAGAAGCCAGTTCTTGAATTCCTTCATCACTTGCATTTTCCATGGTTTTCTTCTTGTGATCTTTTTGGAGTTTGGGATAGTCTTGATTTTCTTTCTGGATTTCCTCTTTCTTCCTTGTTAAAATTGAAACACAATTCAAAACTTCCCAAGCTCATCTCTTCACCTTTTTCATTTAAATCTTGATTTTCTTTTCCAAAGTGGGTCTATATCAATTTTTGTTTGAAGCATTAGCTGGTTGCTGATTCATGGGGCACATTTTTATCACAGCACACGCATTTGAAGAATGAATACAAGGCACAGACACTGGCAGTTACGGACCTTGAAGTTCCAATCATTGGGTATGCAGCTGTTTTGACAGATTTCAGTATCATCGTTGATTCGGTGCAGTGGTACATTAGTACACCAACCAGCAAAATTCATTGTGCTTTACTGTTTTTGAACTTGTGCATTTACCCAATAGATATAAACAACCCAGAATTAAGGCTCATTTTCCTGCTAAAATCAATTTCTGAAAACACTCTCAGAGGGGATTTCAAGTCCATCAGGATGACGGTATTGGATCTCTCTCACAAGGAATTCAACAAAATTCATCCAAAGAATCTGTGCTACTAAAGTAAGGGTTGTCCTCAACTGTGTATTTTCCCTGATGAATAGAAGCTGAAAGACACATGGATCGCAGACAATTCATTAACAACTAGGGACAGGTAACATGAGCTTCATGTATAAGAATCCGGGCAAGGTCGTTGAGGCTCCTGCATGATTGTTAATTTGTGTCTGGATCCTAAACATCTGGCATGTGTAGGTTAGAAAATGAAGCGAGAGTGAGTTGACTTGAAAAGAATGTAAAAATCGTATATTTCCTGATGTCCGACGCGATAATTATCGCAGAGTGCTCTGGAGTGGAAGAGAATGTTCCTCCCTGAGAATTCAGTGGCGGAGCCCGCCAAGCAACGAGCCGACGGCATCGAGTGTTTGTGGTAGATGGCTCAAAATGGGAGCACGAGCTTCGGGTCCTGAGAATCCATTTCCAGTACATCCAGTTGCGAAGCCTCGCTGGCACACATACATCTGAAGGTTGGATTCGATGTCAGTCAAAGAAGTCCGAAAATAATTACTTTCTGGTCAAGAGGGCCATACCTGAAGAGGAGGTTCCGCAGTTACGGACTAAAATTCGGCGAGATTGAAGCAAAGAGACGGTACTCTTAGTTGGATAGGCCCGGTTTCTTAATGTCAGGTTCTGTACTCACCAGTGTTGTAGCGGTCTTGAGTAAACTGTGGATACGGTCACCGGTGTTCCCAACTATTGAGCCGAAGGTGTACTTCAAGTCATTACCGAGGCTTCCCAGTTGGCCGCCAAGACCGGCTATGCGATGACAGGTAAAATTCAGTGAAGTGTATTCCTCAAACTTTCAAGCAGGTCACATCCCAAAGAAAAGCGCGCAAAATTACCCAATTGATTACAGAAAGATTCTATGAGGACACCAGCAAGGAGTCGGTATTCAATCATTAGCGTACGTCAAGTTCTTGGACAAGTTGATGTTACTTACTATCGACGGCGGCAGGATTCGCCGGTCTTCCACTCATGAGAGCAGTGAGAGCGATCCCGAAGGCACCATAATCACCAACAATCAAACTTAAGCGTGATGAGTAGAAACGTCAGTCAACTGCACCCTTGATCTTGTGTTGAGGCCCTTGGCTTACAAGTGGTCTGCCACATGCGTAGCCCCACAAACCTCCTGAAGGGCCATGTTTGACGCGCCATTCAAGTAAGAGATCGGCTGTGGGGGAGGGAAAAATCCAATGGGTAGATGAGTAAAAATAACAACTGCAAAGAAATGTAGGCGATTCACTCACACGACCCCCAACTTGGGGCAAAACAATCTCATCCTCTAGAGTATATATGTTTGTTGTTGGCACGAGAGCTACTGCGCCACTCCCCATGACAGGGGCATTGAGAGCTCTCATGAATTGTGAATTCTGTGGTCAAGACGTTCAAGTGATCATCACCGATCATTATTAGTCCGTCGCTGGCAAGCCGGGTTGGAGAGTATCAAGGATTCGACTTGCGGTTTGCAATTGAAATAGTGCGGGCAAGCAACCGCCAATAAGTTCATCAACCTGGCAAACAATAGAAGAGGCATACGTGCCATGGAAAGGGGAAGCCAAAGCAACAAAGCCCATCACCATCCGCCTAATAGACGGCCAGAAAGCTACATGGGGAAAGACTGATAAACACCCGAAAATCCTCGCCGGAAACGCAGGTTTTTGAGACGACTTACTGAGGGCCCATTGCATCTGCTCGACCAGAATGGCAGTGGCCGCGGGTTGCCGATGTTCGCATCAGTTTCCAGTGAAGAAACCCAAGTAGACAATCGGCCCAAGCCTCAGGAGGATTTCTATGTACATACGTTCATCCCTCCTTGACTGTAGGAGATAACGTTAATCGGCCGGCGGGACACAGTAGCCAGATATTTGATAGCGTAGGCGACAAATTCGGCAGTTAGCTGAGCATCTCCGGTACCTTTGGCTGTATGACCGATAGAAAAGCATGAGATTTGTCAAGAGAATGTTTTCAAAGCGGGGATTGCAATATCATAGTGGTGAGTTCGGATGAGCTCACTTAAGTTGTCCACCCAGCAAATGCTAAAGCCGTATCGCGGGAGTTGGGCATAAGGCGACTGTAGGGAAAGTCAGCTAAATGGAAAAATAGGTTCTGGGTAATGCTCATCGACTGTTTCAGCTTACCCTAGGCCATACTTGCTGTCCACTCGCAGCTACCCAGTCACACTATTTTCAATTTGCCTCTCCTGCTTGCTGATCAGGAGAAATTCATTGTGGACGTACCAGTAGGTGGTAGGAGCAAAACAACTCCTACAATTAAAAGGGTGCGTTAACGGAATTTAATTTGTATTCGATACGTTCTAGATACGTTCTAGCCTACCTCTCTGTCCATTGATGCCTCCAGGACAGCTTATTTGTTGCCGGTAGGTCATCTCAGATTGAGTCTACCAAAACAGGTGGATCAAACTTTTGTCAGAATTTGTATTCCTTGCTCGTCATTATTCAATAATCACAAGCGACACTAACCCAAGGGGCATCTCCATATGATGACGCGGGTCGTGGACCTGCTGTTGCAGCAGCCGGATTGTACTTTGGGATTCCATTCAGAAGGTCATTCAACCCATTACCGGGACCCAGTGGGAGAAGGCTAGTGACGCCATCGAGAAGCCCTGAAGTTTGAAGAAAGGAAAATTATGTTTGAAGTTAGTATCCCACAGAGATTGATATACGCGCAATCACTGTCATGGCGCACCGCCAGGAATACTCTCCGGACCACCTATGGTTTACCACCGAGCCAGAAGGTTAAAAGCAAAGACAAGCTGGTGGTTAAAATCCAACTGGACCCAATTTCAAACTGATAACCGGCGCACCTTGAAAGCCGCGATTCGGGATACCACCTAGGAGACCTGCCGTTTAGAAGCAAAAAAATCAGTTAGCGCTCCGGAATGAGCTTCTCTGGGAAATAATCTGGTGACTAAGCGCACCAGTAATACCTCCTCTACTTGGGCTGCTTGTAGGGTTGGGGCTGAGAAGATTTGAAAGGAGGCCTGAAACAAGAGTCCTGAAGGGTGAGCAACCCGAAGATATGAAGAGGACATCGAAAATTCCAACCTCTCTTGCTCAGATCAGTTTGATCTCCATTGTGTTTCTGGCGCTCAGCCGGCTCTGTAGCGCCCGCATGGAGAACAAGGAAGAAAAGCCATACAGGTGTGAGAGCAATCATGCTGTTTTGACTTATTTTTTTATTTATTCAATGAGAGTGAATTTCTGATAGGAGAGTTCGTGAAGGAGGGTGAAGTTGATCGCACGATCATCCGTACAGGAATGGTTGCCGACGGAAGTACTTGGATATAAATATGTGCCGACCGGGCGCGTCTAAAGCCCTCTCACTGCTCAGGGATCTGCGTGGATCTAGAAAACTCGAATGATTTTGTGGTCAAATTTCAAATCTCTGATTTCGGAACGGCTTTTCAGTCATCACGAACCACGGTTGTCCGCTTCGGTGCCCCTCAAATCATAACTATCATGATTGCTTGCGATTGTTTAAGGACGCACAATTCCAACTTGGATTGAGTTCACAGGAAGTATTAAATCTATATATGCACCCGAAATCAAATTACGATTGTGTTCTTCTGCTTGCCAAGCACTGGGAGGGTGGGACCCTCTGTGATGAGTTTGGGGAGAGGGTTCTGTGAGACTTCGGGCTGTTGAACTTGAAGCTTTCCTCGATTGGAAGTGATGTCTGACTCTGGTCCGGGGCCGGGCATCAAGAATCAATCGGATATGACGGATTATCAAGAGGAGCTCTTCTGCTCAACCAAAATTCCTATGACCGTTTCACCAACAAAGCTTTGAGTTCTACCGATCCTCGCGTGGATCTCATTTAGTATCACCCGCATTATGACTGATTGGACACAGGTTAGACTCCAGAGGAAGGTACATAATTGGACGCGGTGCTCGACCTCAGGATCAGGAACTTGTCCATCAAGGCAACTTCAGTGGTGAGTTGAAACTTCACCCATGTGGTGTTCTGCTAACTTAACCAAGTCCTCCCGCAGCCTGCAGGGTTATCACTCCGACAACGGGGAGAAGAGACTTGGGGTGTTCGAGCCGACTCGGATCGGGCCCATCAGTACATAATCATCTTCTCCCGATGAACACTACTTCAAGATGAGCAAAGAAAGAGCCTGCGGCCATCGTTCAGATAGGGAGCCTCGAGTGCAGCAAGCTGATCGCTACTGCTACAAGATAGAGGCTTCCCAAGAAACCCCGCCAACCGAATTCAACTCAAGCAAAGGGGCACAAAGCGCCTCGCGAAAGTGCGGCCTCTGCTCACTGTGAGCGCAAGACCCTGTGGGGCTCTCAAATTAAGCTGTGTAAACGTTGACCGGCAACTGGAGTGGATACCTACTGATACTCTGTGTTCAAAGCAAAAAATCCACATTCCCCCTCCGGGGTTTCCTATTTGCGCCACTGCCTTCGACAGGGAAGAGGGTCCATTGCAAGGAATTTGACTCATTACGGAAGTGTTGAACATTTTGTAGCGTGCTTGAATGTGAGGGTCGGCCTATTACTCTTAAATGTCCAGTGGCTATGAAGTTACTCAAGAGAGTAACTCGCCTCGGTAAGAAGATAATAGTCGAAAATCTTAATGAAGATTTATAATCAATGGTTTTAGTTAAGGTTTTTGTGATAATGATTTACTATAGGTAATTCAAATCTAAACGATGATGATGATAAGAAATATCGCGATGAGGAAAGAGAAAGAACAAAGGGAGGAAGAACAATAGTAAGACTACAGTCAAATCTAAACGATGATGATGATAAGAAATATCGCGATGAGGAAAGAGAAAGAACAAAGGGAGGAAGAACAATAGTAAGACTACATATATAATCTATCAGCACAAATCCGATGACGAAAACAAGATGTCACAGATGACATCATCTGAATGCAGATCACATAAGAATAAATGAATACATCATCACATAATATAATTTTGTATGCATCCTCTACGTCATCAGCAAAGTTAACCAACCGATTTCTACATAATCTTACCTAATCGTCAACCTACCGGACCAGTCATGACAAAACAGACCTCCCTTATACGATAAACCGTCCCTACCTTTTTTTTATTCTTTTTATAATATTTTGCATGAGTATTCCTAAAATTCAACAAATAATTTGTTAGTTTATCAGGAAAATGTAAGTGAGACACCCACGTGTCTTCTCCTACTGTTGTATCCTGCCACGACACTAAATAATCAAAACTTCCTTTCCGCAACTCCCTATAATCTAACACTGCCTTAAGTTTCTTCCAATCAACAACTTGTTTGTCATCGTAGTACTTATCCTTCAAATCTGTCACAAAACCACGATCTAGCAAACTGTTAGGAGAAAAATATCTTACAATTAATGAGACATTAAACACGGGATGTAGCTTTGGATATTGATGATGAATATCCAATTCCACTGCATTGGATCCTACCATTTTAATTACCTTGAAAGGTCCTATGTACCGATAATCTAACTTCGAATTTAACCTTCGAGACTGGATAAACTTCCTCAACAAAAGCACCTGATCTCCTGATTGATAAACCGGCGATACTTTCTTACCCTTGTTGTAGTATCTTGCTTTCTGAATGCGTGCTTGGACCAAACACTCCATAGCCGTCTCCTGCGTAACCTGCAAATCATAGAGAAATTCATCCAAGTCTTGCTTACCAGTAGATTCCGTCATAATGTTAAATTTAGGATGATGTCCGTAGGTAAAAAAAAATGGTGAAATCTTCAAACTGGCAGAATCTAAATTATTCAAAGAAAACTCAGCCATATCCAGACATTTATCCCAATTATCCTGATAGTAGGAACAGAAATGATGTAAATAATCTTCCAGTATCTGATTCATCCTTTCTGTCTGCCCGTCCGTTTGCGGGTGGTAAGCCGTGGACAGGGATGACTTAATACTTAAAGAGTTCATCAAAGCTTTCCAAAAATTACTCACAAACGTTGTGCCTCTATCAGAAACAATTTTATCCGGTAAACCATGAAGTCGAAAAATATTCTTTCTAAACAAATTAGCCAAAACAGCCGACGAAGAAGATTCTCTGCAGGGAACAAAATGGGTCAATTTACTCAAGAGATCAATTACCACTAAAATGGAGTCAAAACCACCAGACAAAGGAAGTTTTGTAATCATGTCCATACCAATAGTACTCCACGGTTTTGGCTCTGGAACCAAAGAGACTAATTTCCCATCTTTCAACATCCGTCGCGCTTTGACCCGTTGACAAGAGTCGCATGTCTTTACAAACGCCAGCACCGAAGATTTAACACCCGGCCATGAAAACGTACGTCCAAGAATTGACAGAGTACGCGCCACACCTGGATGCCCCACAGCTGGTGAATCATGGTACATAGACATAATACGGACCCTTAAAACATCCGGTACGTAAATCCTATCTCGATGCCATAATATATTTTCAACCATCGTGAGTGAGTGTAATGCCTTATCTGCATCAGAATAATGTCTCTTCAAAAAGGCCAACAGGTCAGCATTAGGACGTTGAAAGTGTAAATCATGCATATTGGCTAAACCTTCCAACTTGCCTGCCATAACAAACTTGTCACGCAATGAAGTCGATTCAGGAATAGTTGGTCTATCCGCCACATAATCTTCGCGTTGACTGGGTGCATCAGCCGGATTATTCTTGCCTGCAATGTGATAAATCAACATGTTAAAATTATCCAAATAACAAGCCCACCGAGCCTGTTTAGGAGAAAGATATTTAGCACTCTTGAAATACATTAAATTTGAATGATCGGAGAAAACTTTAACCGGCTCCTCTGTTCCCATTAACCAGGCCCGCCAATCTTCAAATGCGGATACAATAGCCAACAGTTCTAAATAAAAAATTGGCCAAGACCGTTCCCTGTCAGTCAACTTTCTAGAAAAATAACTAACTGGCCGGAATTGATTATTGTTGTCCGGCTGACTCAAAACTGCAGCAATAGCATATCCAGAACTATCCACATGAACTGTTCTTACTTTATCAAAACTGAAATGCATCAACAGTGGACCTTGAACAAAAGCAGTTTTCAAAATATTAAAAGCTCCTACCACCTCTGGCGATTGAAAATCCGTTACTGGTAGCTTCTTAGTCTTTGTTAAAGCCGTCAGCGGTCCCGCAATACCCGAAAAGTTTTGAATAAAACGCCTGTAAAAATTAGTGAAACCTAAAAATCGTTGAAGCTCTTTGACGGACGAAGGAAATGGCCAATTTTCTATTGTACAGTGGCGCAACCCATGTTACTGTACACCATCACCAGCAAATTTTTTTTTGGCCTGTCGGCCTAATGTTTGTAGGCACTTGGGGTCCATCACCCATTTTTATTGTAGATTTGGGCTTTTTGAGGGCAGTAGTTTCCATAAATAAAAGGGCTAAGCCCCCACTGCTCCAACAAAAAAGTTTTTTTTATTTGGGGTCAACATTTCGGAATCCATGCGCTTAAATGCCCCTACAGTCTCATATTCATGTACTTAACTCTGATAACACATAAGTATGGCTTCTCCCACCAAAGATATGTGCATAAACTATAACCTAAATTTCATTTTTGTTGCTGCCAAACATGGTAATTCGACTCTGGGATGTAATTTTTTCCAAACAAGTGGCAAAAATTGCACAATTTTTGAAATTTCCAAGCCCCAAAACCTAAATTTTCCTTGGATCCTGCCCTTCCCAGGGCAGATTTTCTTGATTTTTTTCCTTCAAACATTTCGGAACCCCAAAATCCATGTACAGTAGGATGGGTTGCGCCACTGTATTCAACTTCTTGTCACTCATCTTCAAACCATCCTTAGTAATGTCAAATCCCAAAAAAGTTACTTTCGAACAGAAAAACTCACACTTGTTGAGAGACGCCTTGAGAGAATACTCTCTCAACTTGTTTAAAACATTCCGTAAATCTGATATGTTTTTATCTTTAGACTTTGAAAATATCAAAATATCATCAATATAAACAAAACAACAAACATCTAAGTACTCACGCAAAACATGTTGAATAAACCGTTGGAAAGTAGCCGGAGCATTGCACAAACCAAACGGCATAACCTGATATTCGTAAAGACCCCAAGGAGTTTGGAATGCAGTCTTCCACTCGTGACCTTCCGCCACTTGTAACAAATTAAAAGCAGCCTTAAGATCAATCTTGGAAAGAAAACTGCATCCTTGCAGATTGTTCAGCAATTGAGAGACTAATGGCAAAGGATATGAATCTCGAATTGTCATACCATTCAAGATCCTATAATCTACGCAAGGTCGATCCGCCTTTCCTGCAACTTTGACATAAAAAATAGGGGCCGCTGCTGGTGAGGATGAGACTCAAATAAAACCTTTGCGCAAATTTTCATCAATATATTCCTTAAGTTGATCCCTTTCCCCCTTGCTCAGGTTGTACATCTTACCAAAAGGGGGAACCATGTTGGGTTTCAGATTAACTTCACAGTCAAGCCTTTCACGATGCGGAGGTAAAATTGCCAACGATTCAGTCACAAAAACATCTTTATATTCGTCAAATAAAAAAGAAGCATCAGAATCCTTGATAGATGATACAACCTGCGCTAAAGACTGAATGACAATTTTATTTTCTGAACCACCGACATAAGTATTAGTATCTTTTAACCATGAACTTCCTAAAATGATATCAGCAGAAACAATACGCGTCACATGTAACAATACATAGGAAAAAAAATAGAATTATCGATCGTGGGAATGAGAAGTTTCCCTTTTATATATTCCGTAACCTTTCCTGCAGAAGCCAAGGAGCCATCGAAAGACCGGCACTGCATCGGATTGATTAAATTGAATTTTTTTAAATTATGGGCTCTGACAAAAGATTCGTCAATAAAAGATGAAGTAGCCCCCAAATCAACCAACACCAAACATTTGGTTAGCTCCAATTCACCTTTGAACAAAGATGAACTGAAAAAGGGATGGTTATCTGAAGAAATAGAAGATTTCACATAAATAAATGACTTACATTCATCATACTGCGCTTCCGCAAGTTGACGCTCGAAAAACAATTCCCCTAGAGTCATTGGCTCCATTTCCACAGTGTCAACTATACCTCGACTAGTGGAAGCCGATGGAGAATTGGATTGTTGATTGTTCAAGGCGCGTTTCGACAAATGGTCCGACGATTCCTCTGAAACCGATTGTCGCTTCTTTCCCTTATCAGTAGGTAAATGAGATGGAAAGGTCGGATGAGACGGCGGGTAGCAACCAGATGAGGAAGACCAACGATCGACACTCGAAATCGCATGAGAACCTTGCGTTCGACCATCCGCCCGTCCTCCAATCCCATCTCCTGCAGATCCACCCCAATCACGCCAAATCGCAAGAATTTGAGGTTTAGAAAGTTGATCATTTTTATCCAAAGGGCATTGTCGCGTCTCCGAATGAACCGAGTTGTAACGGCCTCCGCAACAATGACAGATGTGCTGAAGAACACACTCGTGACGATACGCATCGTAAGTGAACCCCAATTCTGCAGCAATTGCATCGATGTCCATAGGCACGCCATCCGAGAGTCTAGGGGGAGCCTTTGAAATATCTGGTTTAGGGGGAAGTTGAACCTTATGAACAATAGGTTGAGGCCTCTGACTTAACCGATCGATCAAAGCGACTCCGGGGACATCCGCCGCTAATTCGACCGCCATCGCTTGCTTTTTAGCTAAGTCCGTCACGCCATTCCATCCACCACGCAGAATCCCAAGTTGAATAATCTTTGGATTAATCGCTTCATTGTAAAGGTCACACTTCGATGCTTCCGAAAGATCCACCGCGTAGAGTAAAGAATTGAAAGAAACGTTGAACTCTTCAATCGAAGTGTTGCCCTGCTTCATGACCCGCAAAGATTTCCGCGCCTCCTCTTCTCCCTTATGATTTGAGAAAGTCATTTCGATCGCAACCAAAAAAGCTTCACCGGATAACAGTTCCTCCAACAAGAAAGGTGCCTTGGACGAAGCTGTATTCGGATCCAAGTCCTGATGATGCGCATTCTTCGCCACCAAACGTACGAAGCGCAATTATCGCCCAACTTCCCATCCGGTTTGCGAAAGTAGCCCGCAATCCACATCACTTTATGTTTCTCATTATGAAAATTATCGCCATGCATCTCTAAAGAATGTCTCATGGCAAAACAGAATTCTTTAGTTTCAGACAGAATTCCGGAAAAATATATGTGAGAAAGGTATGGTGGATCCCGATAAGACTTAGGCTGAATAGGTGGATGAGTAATCGAATGATTAACAAAACCCTCCACACGATCCAAGCGCGAATTGGTGGAATTGTTGACGGAGTCAATCGCATTACGAACTTGAAGGAATTGACCATTGGCATTGGTTTTGATATTCATAAATTGAGAACTGAGGGGCAGAAGAGCTTTCAAATCGTCAAACAGTTTCAGATAACGGTGTTGTTGAATTTCCAAATCGGCAATTTTTTGAGCATGTGAGAGAATTGTGTCGTTAAGAGATTGATTTTCAATACCTAAATGAGAAATCAAACTCGAAACACCATCATCACGAGCCGTAGCAGGAATAACATTTGGAGAATCAGGAACAGGGAGATAAGGCATCGCAGCCGCCAGAAGGGTCGGAGACATAGGAGGAATCGGCCGCGGTTGAAAATCATTAGGAAGTGGCAATAACGGAGGGAGAGAAGGTGAAGGTGAGAGGTAGTTTGGACGAGGGGATAGAAATTGAACTGGAGGAGTTGGAGTCGGGGAAGGAAGTCTCATTCGAGTTGAAAGCAGAGGTGACGAAGAATCAGACATGATCAAATATGATGTCTGTTTGAGGAAAAAAAAAGTCGAGTCGAATCGTGAGAAAGCAGTCGAAGATCGATAGTCGATATGATAAAAGACCGATTGATTTTGTTGAATGACTTTTTGAGAAAAAAAAAATCGAAGAAAAGAATTCGACCGATAAAAAATTTATTGAATTCTTGAGGTGAGAGATAGAGATCGCGATATAACTGTGAGGGTCGGCCTATTACTCTTAAATGTCCAGTGGCTATGAAGTTACTCAAGAGAGTAACTCGCCTCGGTAAGAAGATAATAGTCGAAAATCTTAATGAAGATTTATAATCAATGGTTTTAGTTAAGGTTTTTGTGATAATGATTTACTATAGGTAATTCAAATCTAAACAATGATGATGATAAGAAATATCGCGATGAGGAAAGAGAAAGAACAAAGGGAGGAAGAAAAATAGTAAGACTATATAATCTATCAGCACAAATCCGATGACGAAAACAAGATGTCATAGATGACATCATCTGAATGCAGATCACATAAGAATAAATGAATACGTCATCACATAATATAATTTTGTATGCATCCTCTACGTCATCAGCAAAGTTAACCAACCGATTTCTACATAATCTTACCTAATCGTCAACCTACCGGACCAGTCATGACATTGAAGAACCAATTTTAGGGCCTCGTACAATTTCGTGCGCCTTAACTGGTGTTGACTTGTTACAGTTGAGACGGCTCTCCACTTCATGTGCTCCTTCCTGCCCTTTCTGCGTGCTCATATGCCCTCTGGGGCATAAAAGCCAGGCGCTTTCTTAATGCAATATGTGAATAACTCAACAAGTACCTCTTTGTTCCTTTTCGCTACTTGATCAATTCTCAGCACTTGCGTGCAATTGGTTTTTGGCTTTCTAGTGCACTCAAAATCCACCACTACTGTCTATTAACCTCACCGAGCCTCGCATAAACAGATTGTGACCGAGGCAACCAGCCCTAGATCTCTTCCCCCCCCCACCACCCAATACCTAACGATGCAGTTCCTAGCCGCACTCACTCTCGTGACACTATTGGTCTCCTTTCCTTTTGCCACCCAAAGCGCTGATTTTTCAAACGATTATATAATCAAATGGGACGTGGACCGTTCTAAATCCTACCTGGAGGTCAAAAGTAAGGTTCCGAACCGGTGCCTCGGAGCCGGATTTCACCCATACCGAACCCGGACACCGCGGATATTGAGACCAGTGCCGGTTTTTACCGGATTTGAGCCAAACCTAGGATCTTCCCAGAGGTGATCCATAAACGTGTTTGATAAGGTTCCGGATGAGTCTGCCGTACGACCGGAAGCTGTGGTTGGGCTTAATGAACTTGATGATGAGTCACACTGTTGCCTAGAGCAGCACAAGACGATCGCGTCTTGAGGCTATTGAATTTGAAGGCATTGGCCAGATGATGAGGAGTTGATGGTGCAGGCGCGGATAGGGTAGAGTCAGGTGCTCGGAACATGTCATCCTGAATAGAAATCGACCAGATTTATTTTTATCGGTCAAACGTTGTTGGAACCGGGTTCTTTGAAAAATTGAGATAAAAAAAAACAGGCGCTGGGGCTGAAAAAACGCAAGAGGACAGCATGACGTTCGATTGCGGGTCTCAACTTCAGCAACAACAAAAAACTTGAGAGATCTTTGAACCCTCAGATAGACATCGAGGCCTCTACCCCAAGAAGGGAGGAATCCGGCCGGATGCCGGATCTCCACAACCCACTCCCGAAACCGGAACCGGTACTCCGGTTTCCCGGATCTCGCCGGATCTGCGGGGTCCGGTTCGGAACCTTAGTCAAAAGTGCAAACGGGAAAGTCGCTTACACTTTCAGCAGGATTTATAACCTCCCAACTCAAGGCCAGAGCACGGTCATCACCGGAGACTCGACTTTCAAAAAGTTGTTTTCTCTGGTGTCGGTCAGTTTTGTAGCTACTCAACTGATGGATGACCAGCACCTGTCTAACCAGTATTCATTCATCGCTCTTCTTCCTATGAGACTCCACAGAGCAATGATGCTCCCCTGCCGAAGACACAATACGTCCAGGTCGACGGCCCCAATGCTAAAGATAACCTACCTAAGCGACAATATAAGTTTGACAATTCGCGTATATTTAGGAATATGCTCTGGCGTTTCAACTTCTATTCCGATGTCGCAGGTGCCCGGATACATATACTACAAGTTTGAAAGAAACATGACAAACAAAGGAGGCAGGATTTATAAAGTGGCTGCGGGCCAGCGTTCCGAACTTGTAGCCCTGATCAGGAGTGAGTAATTACTTTCTATCTCTTTCTTCACGCTGCAACTGCAGCCAATGACAGCTCACTCTTGCTTGATTGTGGATCAGCTCAATATCGCCGCGATACCTGGCTGGATCCTGCCCGTGATACCAAAACTTTAACTCTTTCATGTATTGATGGTGCTCCACTGGTAGGTCTCCCATAATCCAAAATGATTTGACACTGAATTCCTATTTTTGCTCACTAGCCAGAATTGGTCACCTTGCTGGGTTTGGTCTTTGTTCGGCAATGAATTAAAAAAATGGTTGGACATTGGATTCCTTTTTGTTATTTTAGCTGTGGCCATGTTGTGTTTCAGTCCAACTCTTGGACAATTCGCCACAAATTCAAAAGAAGAAAGACAATCTATCTCCTGTATTTAACATATTCTTTTATCAAGAAAATTTGGTCCAATTGGAGCTGGTAAAATGCATGTCATCTTTGGAAAAATTGTACCAACACCAAACATGATGTACCTAAAAGTTATGTATTTTTTGGGTTCTTTTGTGCTACAACATGTGGAATAGAGCTGAAATGATGAGGGGATGAAGAAAGAGCACACCAAAAGTTCTGAAAAATTCTTCATTCATTTGTATCGAATAAAAAAAAACAGAGTTACAGGAAAATTCATATGTTGAGAAATATGTGCTCTTTCAGCCAGGCTTATCTTCTCAATAACTTCCCGATTGATCATGTGATCAAACAAATTTGAAAATATGGATGATAGAGCAAGGGTAAAAATGTAACCGCTGCAATAAATTTGATGACAAGTTATTAAAAATTTAGTTAAGTACCCAATTTCCCAGCAACACCTACTGAATAGCTTCCAGTGAGTACTGTTACTGGCCGACAAGAGGTGCTAAGCGCCTCACACAGAGGGCTGATGAGTTTATTTGAGGGTGATGAGCTTACATTTGGAGACTTACTGGGAAAAAGAATGAGTGAGTTGGGGACAGGGACTTTGGTGAAAAAAAAAAAGTTGCCTCAATGGTTGGGTGGTCGGACTCGGAGTGGCTCAAGATTGGTAGGGAGTGTTGGCCCTCTACACATTCCCAACCTTTATGGTATGTTTGATCTCAGGTGCACTGTCCAGACAAGCATGCAGTTGCAACGGGCTACTGCGACAAGAAAATTGCGATTAAGGTTTTTGTTGTTCAGGATCAGCAATCGAAGAAGGTTGATTGGGGGAGCAAGACTGGAGCGAATGAAGGTACGCGTTCGATAGACCAGCACCGACGCCGATGCCGATCCCCCCGGGTATGATGCTAAGCAGACTGAACGGCCTTCGATTCCAGAAGATTGTGGTTGTGGGTGCTGAGGCGGTAGTGTGGGCTGAGGTTGACAAGGATTGGGACAGCTTGATGTGTTGACGAAATTGATGGAGCAGCCCACCAGGGATTACGATCAAGGATAGCTTGAGACCTGACGTAGTGAAAGCAAGAGATGCAATGGTCAGTCTCAAAGACCAAAATCGAAAAACTTGGAGCGGTCCTTGACCGAGTTCGATGATAACCATGAGGAATGTGTCCTTTTTTCTCAAGACTGACCATCCAGTATGGCACTTCCGAAAAGGTGGTTGAAAGATGCAGTATGAGGAAGCTGATGGTCGGTCGTCATCCTCATCCTTTTTTTTCAGTACTGCTGCTCCAGCTTGTTGAGGGAGGGAGCTCTGAAGTAATCACCCGGGCCGAGATGGTCTCGTCGCAAGCTGGGAGGCAGAGTCGGCTGTGCTGCCAAAATTATGTAAGAGGTCCCGCCGAGCAAGGTCTTTTTTTTTTTTTTTTTTTTTTTTTTTGAGTGCAGATTTGATTTAACATTGCGCACTAGCTGCCATCAACGGCACGGATCCAAGCATACTGACTGACCCAGGAGGACACGTCAGGAATGTCATGAAAGCTGCTGTCAACAGAAACTGATGGCGTTGAATTGATCTCGATCTCTTCTTGAGACTTATGGAGCAAAACTAGGGGCCGAATCAAGATCATGACGGAAGAGTTGCCGCCCAAGGAGGCGCTGAGGATCGTTTCGAACCGACCCTGGATGCCTTCAATAGCGGATTCGACCACGGCCGCAGGGATAGCGTCGAATACGCCTTCGGCTTCGTCGGGAAAGAGTTCTCGGAGGGCGGAGTCGTCCGGGTCGGACGGGTATCTAGGGTTGGGAACTGAGAAAGGAGGCGTAAGCGGGGAAGGATCACAAATCAGCGGAGAATGCACTTACGGCGGAAGTGGCGAGAGGCAGGGAAGGGGTTGGTGCGGGTGGGCGTGAACGGGGAGTTGTTTACTACCGGACGAGGAGTAACCGCGCGGGAGTGACCCGAACCTGGAACCTCTGAAGGCCCTCGCTCGGCAGGCCGGGGAGTGCGTAAGAAGTTGAGGCGTGGAGGGGGAGACGAGTCTGGAGTGGTGCGTTCGGGAGCGTCGCCGACAGAAGGAGGTGGAGTAGGACGGAGGCCTCCCAGCTCGGGGTCGATACGCATCGGACTGTCAGGCGGAGACCGGTTAACCGGAGATCGATCCATCGGCGTTGGCGGGCCCGAGGATATCACAATCGGTTCGATATCAATGGTGGTATCGGCTGGAGCCGGGGATCGGACCGGCGCCGGGGAACGCGCGCGCTCAGGAGTGGGTTGTCGGGGCACCATCTGGAGGTCGGCAGCCGGTGCCGAAGGAGGAACGGGAGAGTCCGAAACCCTACGGGGAGAGCGGCAAAGGGGAGAATGGCGAGGAGAGCCACGACGTGGGCTAGAGACTGGGCGACGTAATCGCTCGTCGTAGAGTGGTTGGGTCACATGGTGTTGGCTGGCCCAGCTGCGAAGAGCGGCCCGATACTCGGGGCGGGACGAGAAATCGGACTCGTGAGGTCGCGGCGTCATTCGGTCGGAGCCAGCGGGGGACTCAGGGGAGGATTGTGGAGGTTGAGGAGGTGGTGATGGGGGGCGAGAAGAGGGCGTAGGAGAAGCTACAGAGACGCTAGCTGAGTCGGGCACAACGAAATCGTCCAAAGAGTTTCCGTGGGTAGTAGTCCGAGGACGCTTGGGAGGTCGAGGACGACCGTGGGAATTAGGACTGTTAGCGCGGGTGCGGCGACGAGACCGGTCGGACGGATGCTGGACTAGGGAGCAGCGGCGTTTGGCTTTGCGACAGAAGTCACACGCATGGTTCGAGGACTCGCGGATGCACGTAGCGTTGCGGCTTTGACAGTTGGAGCAGGTGGACATGGTGGGAAGATGGGGAAATGGGAAGGAAGTTGGGGAGAAGAGGATCCTGGGGACAGGATTTTTAAGCGTTGGGGGGATGTGGTGGCGGGAGCGCGCCTTGGCCAAAGCTTTGGCCGGTTTGTTTGGGGCATGCGGAATGCTCGCGGCGCTGATGCGGAAAGCACGCGGAGCTGACGCTACACAAGCAGGCTGAGGAAAGCGGCGGTGCATTAGTGGAAAGTCTAGCTTTCCGAGGCGCGGGAAAGCGGAGAAAGGTAGACCGAATGCACAAGGTTCTGAAAAGCTTACTGCGGGGAATTCGGGCATCGGCGGACGCCGGGGATCACGGCCGACTGCGGAACGGGGGTTCAGTGTATACTGCGGAGGGGCTACAAAGAGCGGGGAGCACCGAGGGGCAGAAGCGGGGTTCGGAGCGGACCAGAGGCGGAAGCGGCGGTGGGAGACCTGCTTAGGAGCGGCCAGAGGAGTACTTGGACCGACAGGCGTCGGAGGGGTGACATGCGGAGTCCGAGGGGGTGACAGCGGATGACATCGCGGGAAGTAGGAAGGGACTGGAGTGTGGGATACCTAGGAGGAGTGGAGTTCGAGGCAGAAGAGGGGAGAGAGAGGGGGGACTTATGACTCAGAACATATCAGAAAAACAGAGTGACTTAGGGAGTGAATCGTGTATTAGCCTAAAGAATTGTTAGAGATAGATTAGAGTTAGAGTATTACCTACAAAAGTCCAATAAAAGAGAACTAGTTTACCTATCTACAAGACCATCAAGCAAGTTACCCCGGACAACAATCGGAGTAAGACGTGTTGCGGAGGGGAGAGGGACAAGAATCTCCTAGGGCGCGCTTACTTTCCACAGCGATGTACTTTCTTATGGCCATGGAGAGTGTAGTCTCCATGGCCCATAGGAGAGCTGATGTAAGCAAAACACTCCAGAGTGTCTTGCTTACATCAGCCTAATTTAGGGTCGTGTACATAGCATCCTGGCGTGCAAGCCCACACGCCCCTCCTGGAGGGGCGGGTTCTTGTGCACGCCCCTCGGAAGCGTGTCTTATTGAAAAACACGCTTCCAAGGGGCGTGGGCGTGGGCGTGCGGGGAGGAGTGCAATTATCATTGCCCCTTTTTTGGGGGTTGTAAAAAAATTGACTCTCAAAATTGGTAAGAAAACTCCCAAAATTGATTGAGGGACATCAAGAGGCTTGCATGACTTCCTGTAGCCATTTGAAATGCTTTTAGACCTCTCAGTCTTAAATTAATACTACAATTGAGATATTCAACTGGCTCACATGAGAGCTATGGCAAGAAGACTTGAGTCAAAACCTTTGAAAGCAGAATAAATGGATTTCTCTTAGGATCAACAGTGGGCCGCTACACTAACCGTAGCGGTTAGTGTAGCGTAACGCAGCGGAATTCCTGTTAGCGTTAAGCGTAGCGTAGAGGAATTCCGCCACGACACCGCTAACGCTACGCGTGTGGGCCGCAAAAAAGGGCCCACTACGCTGCGCTACAGCACTTTTTAGCGGTTTTTAGCCGCTTTTACCGCTAAAAGCGCTGAAGCGCAGCGTAGCGTAGCCAAAATGCGCTACAAAAGCGCTAACACTACAAAATTTTGGCGCAAAAAAAGCGCCGCTACGCTACACTTTTTGGGCCAAAAGCGTAGCGGCCCACCGCTGTTAGGATTACCCAAATTTTTATCTTATGTACTGCCTTATGATGGTCTGGTCAAAATCATAGAGCCTCTAACCAAGCAATAGCATAAGTAAATCTCAGATTTACTGATTTATATTTGTGAGCAATGAAATGTAAACCTGGATGTTTTTCCCTTGATAATTGATAGTTGGAAAGAGAATGAAGGCAAGTCTGTTCACTTGTTTTATGATCTGGATAAATCTACAAAGTAATAATAATGTTTTATTTCAATATTACAGACTCTCTGCACACACTTTTTCCAAGACTTAGCTGATCTGAAGAAGTTGTCCAAAATGAATGTTGATTATGTAGAATGAAGAGACAGAAAAAAAACATGATAGCATTATTTGAAAAATGAAAGCTCTTGGAACAGGGAATATGTGTTCCATGAATGTCAAATACAGAATTTTTTAAAAGTTTTCACTGGTTCTTTTCCTAGCTAAGAATCCTGGTGGATTGTAATGCAAAGAAACACAAACAGAAAGAAAATTGTTTGGATATTGTCATTGATTTTGTTATATCTAATCAGACTTGCATCAATGGTGGGCCAGCTACACTAACTGTAGCGTTAGTGTGGTGTAGTGTAGCAACAATGTGCTAATTTTTAGTGTAGTGTTACTGTGTTGGCGCAAATCCACATTTCTGCACTAATGCTACGCAAAGAGGTAAAAGTGTGTTTTAACTGTTAGCGTAGTGTTAGCTCAGAAATTTGGAATTGAGCTAACGCTACACATTCAGGTCACAAAAAAGTGCCCGCTAAGCTGCTGTCCAGACAAGCATGCAGTTGTAAATGCACTTTGGAAACATTGTACCAACACCAAACATGGGCAACGGGCTTGAATTATCAGTCTATTGAGTTATCAGTGTCTCATGACTCATCAGTATCTCCTTATTCTGTATCACCAATGAAATCCTCTTTTGCATTCAACAAATTAACATCTGTGCTACTTTTCTGTTCAACTCATCAAAGTCACAATCACATTATCAAATCAGCATCCTCAACCCATCAACCAGTCTTTTTTATCTGTCAGAGGCATTTCATATTTATTTTCTTTCATCTCTTTGCTTTCATCTCTTCCTTTGCATCTCTCTCTCATAGTATTCCCTTTTTTTTTGTAATCTTCTGTCCATAAATAAAATAAGATACAGCTCTTTTGACATGTGCTGTCGGTGCAGGAGTTAGCACAATTTGTTCCATTCGGTTGCGATAAAGCAGGTTTGATTTCACTTTGCAATAAGCCCTGATATATTTGTCATACCTTTCAAAAAGAGTCAACTTTGATCCCGATATTTTTCTCTCAAAGCTCCGATTGTGTTTTTGTTGTGCCCCACTTGAAAGCTCAATTTATTTGCACCTTGCAGATTGAAAACAAAAGACTACGATGCTCACTTGCCTCCTAGTCGCCAAAATGCTGAACTGAACAAAGACAGCAGCTTCTTGAAGACGGCGTGTGTCGCGTCTTCGTTTACAAGTCCCCCAACGGCGACGTTGAATGGTCACCACAAGTCAGGATCAGTGAGCAGCACCTCCGAGCTAGAGCTTTGCCTTACGGGGACGGCAGAATCAAAACTGTCCGCCGGTCCAACCGGGCATTCAGAGTCTCAGAGCCCCTTGATCAAGCATGGCCAAACGGTGTGTTACGAAGACAGCGCAATGAGCCTGCTTTGGTGGTCTCGCGCTGTATCAACCAGGCTGATGTTCAGTCGCCGTTCTTTTTGCTATGCGGTGTGTTCTTCTCGGTCACAATGCCGATGGTCAAGGTGCAAGTCCACTCCGGATGACCAGCTAGCGGTATTTTGTTGTCACGTAGTCTGTGAACTTAGGATTCAGCGCTGCATCAATTTTTCTTTGTCCTTGGACCGGAAGTTTAAGCTGGGCTGGGTGATTGTGAAGGGAGGGAAAGATAATGCTTGTGGCCAGGTGTGTGTGCCTTGATGTGCCAGAGCGGCAACACCAGCCAACTTCTTCCGCCGACCAATCACGGCTCGTCAAACGATCCTTTGGCCAAATTTTCTTCATCTCGTTGAGGGCTGATCCGCTAGTACCACCATTCAGTCGGTCTAGAATGAAATCCCCAAGATATTATGAAAAGATCCAGCTGGAAACACCAGCTCTGGCACCGTTAAACCTAGTTTGAGATGAAATTATTGTCACTTTCAGCCATCTTGAGATGGCGTTCTCCAGTTCTGACTGATGGCCGAGCTACTGGAATGGATAGCGGATGTTTTGATAATACCTGGGTGGAAAAGGTAGTGACTGTCTCGTGGATAATCACTATATAAGGAGGTATCCCCAACCCCATCGGTACCAATCATCCTCCATCCAATCATCCAACCATCTTCACACCGCAGCCTTCCAGCTCCAAAACAGCCTCCAAAAGATTCATTTTCATCATCTACTTCAATCGATCCTCCAAAAATCATCAAAAACCTCTTTGACCAAGTCTAACTTATCAAAACCAACACGTCTTTTGCGATTTATCTCAAGATGATGACCAACTCCCCCAAATCCACCTACTTTTCCTTCCCTTCCTACGAGAGTCACTTCATCACTGAAGTGGAAGAAGCGCCCACTCCAGCCACCGCAGCACTCTCCCAAAAGGCACTCGAGCCGCTGATTGATTGTTCCGCTGAAGCCTACCCCATAATCCAGCGGGGTTCTCACTTGGAAGCCGAAATCGAACTGATCCTTTACCTGAATGCCCCCAGGAAACCAGCCTCATTATTCTCAGAATCCTCATCTTCCAACAGTTCTATCCTCTCTACTTCGTCTTCGATCATCAGATCCATCAGGAGCTTGTGGCGATTTGGTTAAAAATGATGATAAAAAGAAAGCCCGACTTTCTCAACACAATCATCAACCCTTCCAACTCACGGATCCGGACGGTTCACCAGAGCTCTCAAGGCAATCAACCTCATACGCTGGGATTATCTGAATGAAGTTCGCAGCAGGCATCTCCAAGAGATCAAATCCTCCTCTTTTAGCCTCCCAACACCTTATCTTCGCCTCTCCATTGCCAAAGGCTGAACTATTCATTCAAGATTCAAGAGCAAAAACAAAAGGGCATCGATTTGTCTTTTGACCGCGCCGCCTCAAATCTGTTACTGGACCGGGATTCAAAACAAAACAACCGGTGGAATCTCAACAAATCATCCTCTGGATGGCCCTTCATTAGCTCAATTCTGTTCCACTCTCAGTTTCGTCCATTATTACTAGTTTACAGCATGGTCTTTCCACTCCAACGCATCAAGCAGTCCATTCCAAGCCAATCATCCAAGCCTCGAATCAGCAGAATCATCCGTTTTTATCCAATTATCAGTCTCCTCTTGCATTATCAGTTCATCTTGAATCATCAGTTATTAGTGTCTTTGGAATCACCAGTCTCTTGAATTATCAGTTTCTCATGAATTACCAGCTTTCTCTTGAATTATCAGTTCCTCTCGCATTATCAGTGTCTCTTGCATTATCTGTGTCTCTTGCATTATCAGTATCTCCTTTATTCCGTATCACAAACCAAATCCTTTTTCGCATTCAACAAATCAACATCTCTTCTGGACACCTTTTTTGGACAACCCATCAAGCTCATAACACCAAACCAACAAAATCAACTCATCATTATATGTTCTCATATCTGTCCAAGGCGTCCTCTCAATTTTCACTTTTTTTCTTTCTCTCTTTTGGTCTCTCTTCGTTCCATCTCCTTCTCTCTGTGTCTCTCTTTTTCGTCTTGCTCTCTCCATCTGTCTCTTGTAATTTTTGTCTGTCTTTCAATCATCTGTCCATCAATGGAATTAAACTCAATTGATCTAATGGTTCCACTAAGTCATGATAAATCTTGGGTTTAATCAGACTTTTTTACAAGCCCTGGCACGTATATCAAGATCCAATATTCCAAACAAATTCAAACTTGATCAAGATCTTTCTTTTCTCTCAGAGCATCGCATTTTAAAATAGTGTGTGCCACACTCACATGAAAGCTCACTTTTCTTAAACCCTCGCCTTGTATACACATTGAAAACGTGTGCATGCCTTCGGTGTAGTTGCCAACAAGATAAGCTCCACAGAACCTGCTTCCAAGGCCAAATAGCTGCGAGAAATATTTACTATCCAAGGCTTATAGGCCTACTTTCTAAGCCTTTCTCGTCAACTCCAAGAAAGGGCAAGGGACAGAAATTGGCTCTGTTGAAAGCTAACTAATCTAAAATTTGTTTGAGATGACTGGATTAGCGATATTTTCAGTGAAGATAATATGGTAGGAGACCTGATTAGGTGAAGGGGGAAGCTGCAAAATAAAAAAGGGTGGCCACGATACTCATGATACTAGTGGGACGGAGAGCAGCGAGGATAACAACGGCTCGGCCTCGAGATTTGACTCCAATCGATTCGCGCCCGTCCCATTCTGCCTTCTTCCCTAAATATCGATCTCTTTACAGGAGAAAAGGGTTCTGTTCGCTAAATATGCAACGTGGAGCTCTTGGGACAGCTGGAGGCTTGTGGGGGGAAACCCCACCAACCGAATTTAACACAAATACTGTCGCTGGCCGACGAAAGGCATTTATAAACGCCCCGCACAAAGGGTGCCTCGTGTTTCTGCGAGACACAGACCATGGGCCTGGGCTGTGACCAACTGATCAGGCGTCCCCAAGTTCGGCCCCCTGAAACTAACGTGGATAAGCTCAAAGTATTACAAGGTAATAAGGTAGAAAAAATCCACATCCCCCCTGCCCTCCGGGGCTTGTGAGTTGCGCCACTGCCTTCGACAGGGAAGAGGGTCCGTTGCAAGGAGTTTTTCTCAGTAGGGAAGTGTGGAAACGCTTTTGAGTGTGCTTGAAGAGCCAATCGAGCCTCGTATCGTTGGCCCAAACGATGGTGGCTTGTTGTGAGTGATTCTCCTCTTGTGCCCCTCCTGCGTGCTCTCATGTTGTTTTGGGCATATAAACCGCCGGCTATCTCAGCCGATGGCATAAGTAAAAAAGCCATCACACCCCACGCTACAAATATCCAGCTTAGCATTTTAGCGCGACTGCCTAGCCTGCTCCGATAGCTATTGCAATTCTCAAACCTCACATAGATAAAGTGTGAAGGAAGTCTTTCTTGAGCCATCGCCCTAACCTTGCATCATCAATACCTAAAGATGCAATTCCCAACTAGCGCACTCGCTCTCATCACCCTTCTGGTCTCCTTTCCTCTTGCCATGCATGCGCAAAATGTCCCCAACGATTACATGATAAAACAAAACTCCGACCCCAAACGCCTTTTGGAGGTCTATAGCGCGAACGGAAAAGTCGCTTACCGCTTCACCAAGACTGCGCATGTCCCCTCTCAAGGGCAGAGCATGATCACAGTCGCGGACGGGTCTCTCCAGAAGGTGTTTTCGATGGTCACGGTCAGTTGTGTAATACCCTAGAAAACAATGAATGATCAGCGCCCGTGTAACCGCCCCCCCCCCCCCCCCTCCTGTCACACTCTGCAGGGCTTGGACGACTGCAGCTACAAGACAAACTTGGCCCAGGTCGAAGGACCTACTCCGAAAGATCAGTTACCAAAGCGACAGTACAAGTTTGATGAGAGAAAGCTCTGGCAAAATTCGGTCTGGCGCTTCAACGTCTATTCCGACTCCGCTGGTGCCCGGGTATACTACAAGTTCAAGAAGAATCGCACAAACAAAGGGGGCCAGATTTTCAAGGTGGCCGCCAATCAACCCTCCCAGTTGGTGAGCCTTCTCAGAAGTAAGTATCACCTCCCTTCACACACCTCTTTCTTCTTCCACATCGCGCATGACACCACATCTAACTCATGACTTCTTGCGCATTAGGTCAAACCCGCAAAGACAACTGGCTGGATCCCGTCAAAGGGACCGACACTTTTACCCTTTCATCCGTTGATGGTGCTCCAGTGGTATGTCCCTACTAATCTCAATCAACTTGGAGAGAAAGAAAAAAGAGCTTGATGTCCTGATTTTATTGCTACCTCGACTGGATAGACTGAACTGGCCACCCTGCTGTATTTGGTCTTCACTCAATGCTGACCTTGAGGCGTAAAAATTTCCTTTTTCCCATGCCCAAATTTGTTGCCCGGATACCCACCCTATTGAGCGACATGTTGTTAGATTAGACATTGCATTTTTGTTTGATTTTTTTTTATTTTCTTAGCTGTGGCTGATTTGTGTTTCAGTTCATCTTCCAGACAATTTGCAGCAAATTTTAGAAAGACAATATATGTGTTTTATTTAATGTATTATCCCAATGAACCTCAGGAAGATCACACTCTTAACCCTACCTTGTGACCCAATGATCCCACAACATAGGATGGGATGATGTATTTGATTCATTCAAAAATCTAATACTATTGAATCCTCCATGAAGAAAGGTGAACTTGGGCAAAATAGTGAAGAGAAGACGACTTTGGTTGAATATCTAGCAGTTAAGGCGGAAAACCTACAATTTTCAACCATATCTACCTCACCAATGGCTGCAGACGCAGAAGATGAATGCAGAAAGAAGTAACATCTACTTCATGAGGTTTTATTACAATCTGCATTGGTTTTAACAGTTGAAGATTCAGACTACAGTACACTTGATTGAGTCCGGAGGCTGACAAACATGGCTTGCCCAAGGACTATCTTGGGTGCTGAGAGGCCATGCCAGCCGCCATGGGGAAAGATCTCATGTGGTCAAAAGTGATCACTCTGCCGTCTGGGTTCTGAACAAATGAAATACAAGTTTGTACATACATACAATCGAGATATTCTCAATTGAATCACAAATTCATAAATCAACCCCAACTTTTGCTTGGAATCGTCAAAGCAGACGATCATAGTTTCATTTGCAACAGGCCTTTCTGGATGAAGCAAGTCTTTCACTAGTGCCTTGGCCTTTAACAAGCGACTTACAGACTCTAGGCTGAGCTTTCAGTCAAGTTGGGTCTCAACCCACCATTACAGTTGAGGACGATGAAATAGTGTTTCTTGGAATCAACTTGATTGATAGAGATTGTGCGCGTTTTCTAAGAGTTACATTGCAATTAGACTGATCAACACTATCCATACTTCGTCAAAGCTTACAAAAGCCTCAATTCTGGAGGAAACAGATGGGAAAGAAGAAGAAAAAAAGGGATAGTCAAGTCAGAATGATTTGATGGAGGACTCTGAGTTAGAATGAATTCAAGAGAGGTGAACAGACGATGGTGATTACTTACATAGTTTTGGTACAGAGCAGTTGAGCTAAATTTGCTTCCTTGTCTGATCACCTTCTCCACAGCATCCAGGAAGTCCTTCTCATTGGCCACCTTTCTCCGAGCCCTGATCGCAAACATACCCGCCTCAGTACAAACCGAGCGTAACTCGGCCCCAGTGGCATTGGGACACAATCTGGCAATGAGCTCGTATCGAATGTTTCGCTCGACTGACATCGATCGGGCATGGATCTTGAGAATGTTGGCTCGGCCCTCGTTATCCGGGAGAGAAAATTCCACCCGTCGGTCTAATCGTCCAGGTCGAAGAAGCGCTGGATCTAGCGTGTCAGGCCTGATAAAAAAGGGAGGAAGATGTCAGAAAGGCTTCCAAAGTGTTCAAATCCCCGATGAGGCGTACCGATTGGTTGCCATAATCTAGAGGGAAAAGCGATTAAGGGAATTTATATGTCAACTTTTGGTATCAAAAGAAATAAAGTGTGATACAAATCAAGACGAACCACTTTGATGTTTCCACGAGGGTCAAACCCATCGAGCTGATTGATGAGTTCCAACATTGTCCGCTGAACTTCATTATCCCCACCCTGACCATCATCGTGTCGAGCCCCGCCAATAGCATCGACCTCATCGAAGAAAATGATACAGGCCTTCTTGGTTCGAGCCATTTCGAACAGCTCTCGGACCATTCGAGCCCCCTCTCCGACATACTTCTGTACGAGCTCTGATCCGATGACTCGAATAAATGTGGCATCGGTTCGATTGGCTACCGCTCGCGCGCAAAGAGTTTTTCCAGTTCCTGGGGGGCCAAAGAGCATCACTCCTTTGGGTGGATCGATCCCCAAGGCCACGAATTTCTCAGGCTACAATCATACGTATTTTGAGCTTCAGATTAGTATGATAGTAATTGGAAAATCGCAATGGAAACCATGCTGGTTACTGACATTGAGGAGTGGTGTCTCGACGACTTCACGTAGTTTTTCGATCTGCTCTTTACATCCTCCAACGTCTGAATAAGTCACGTCTGGTTTCTCTTCGACCTGCATCATCGTGACTGAGGGATCGATTTTTGGGGGGAGCGGGATTTGGATTTGGTATTTATTTCGATCGACTCTATAAAGTTGATTTGTTTTTGGTTAATCATTGTTGATCCATTGATCCCTCCCTCCTTCAGAAGATTTCAGACTCACCCAACCCTCATTCCCTCTTCGATATCTGTGGGGGCCATTTGTTCACCAAGACCGACGACAAACTTTGCGATTTGTTTAACATTGATAACGTATTTGTCTTCCTCGTCAGCATTAGGACGGGACATTCCAGCGCCTGGAAGAGTTCTGCCGCCTGCCCCAGCACCGGCAGGTTGCCTTCCGTTGGCTCGTCTGCTGGCTTCATCCTCAGGGGTGGCGTTTGCATCGGGTGCACGGATGATCTTGGTACACCTAGCGACTTGTAAACAGGAAGTCTCTTGGCTCATTCGGACTCGATCGACCGCCGTATCCCAGAGGTTCGGGGGTGCTAAGCCGGTATCACTCTCCTTGACACCCATCTTTTCGCCGATCCGTTTCTGGAGATCCTGAAGGTCTTTCTCGATCGTTCGAAGTTGTCGCGCGTAGGGCCCTTGTCCATAGGTCTTCAGAAGTTGGATATCTCCCTCGTCGAGCGCAATGATGTCATCAGTCGCTGCAATGTCATCTGAAGTCTTTTTGGCTGAGATGAGATGAATTGATTCAGTGAGTATGCTATTCGAGTATACGTAGGATAAAATAGAGAAGAGATAAAGATATCTACTCACACTTTTCCCAATCTCTGATGAGGATGTCGACAAGGAACCAGACATCAAAACCAACATCAAGATTGATTTCTGAAGGTAAATTACTCACTGTTTGGGTGGCATCTTTTCGAGTACAGTATACGGCCTTGGTTTCTGTTTTCAAGAGGAGTGATGAAATTTAATGTTCTTGATCGAATCCGAGTGGTTCTGATGGTGATTGAGGTTGAATATGATGATGATGGTCAAGAGAGAGTAGGCGAGTGTCTGGAGTGGTTAGTCAGCTGCCAGTGATCTGAAGACCCAGCTGACGTCAGAGGGGGTGGTCGCGAGGACAGAGGCGGAGCCTGCTGCGCGCATGGGGTCCGGTGGACGTTGGGGCTGTGCAGGTCTGCTGTGTCGTGTCTCCTATTTTTATTTTATTTTATTTTATTTTATTTTGTTTTTGCAGTCCACTCCGCCACCCCTCTGCTTCTTCAACCACCTTCTCCATTAACCATGAACCTCCCCACTTTCGCCGCATCAGCATCCTTTTTCGATTTCGACCCAATCCAATCAAACGGGCCTGAAGCTACCACCTCAGCAGCAGAACAGCAAGATCCACCATGGAAGATGACTGACCCATCAATCAGGGTTAGCTTTTCTTTCTTTCTTTCTTTCTTCCCACCCAACCACCATCAAATTACATACTGAAAACCATGTCTTATCGTTATCCTGTAGGCCCATTCTCCGTCTAGGGTATCCTACTATTTCCCCAAGGGAGTCGGAGATTATCATTTCGGGGTCCGTTCATCAGCATTCATAATACATACACCCTGAAATCAAATTCATGCGCTGATAGTTTACAGAAAACTTGACTGGTTTGATTTATGAACGTCTGCCTACATCGATCTCTATCCTCTTCTTCCACTCTCGATCTTCCTATCGAATTATATCTAGAAAGGGCATCCCATGAAACCTCATCGACTCACAATCCTAAATCATCTCGTCGCCGGTTATGGGCTACATCATCACATGGAATATCACTCCCCTCGGCTAGCAAATCGAGAAGAATTAGGATCATTTCATTCTTCCTCCTATCTGGATTTCTTGGAGCGGTACGAGTCTTTCCTCAAGCTATTCTGTTTTTCACGCGTGACCCAGTCTACTACTGACCTCTAATTACCATTCTCATTTGAATTATAACTATCTGAAAACTCACTTAGAAATAACATACGACTGGGAGAAGATCCTAAATCAAATAATCCGACGAGCAATTCAGGCGAACATAACACCGGTGAAGACTGTCCGATGTTTGATGGGATTTACGATTTCTGTCGGCAGTATGCCGGCGCAAGCTTGATGGCCTCTCGGAAACTCAACTCGGGTACATCAGATATCACAATCAATTGGTCGGGTGGACTTCATCACGCTAAGAAATCTGAAGCTTCCGGTTTTTGTTATGTCAATGACATCGTAATCGGAATCATTGAGCTACTAAGGTTTATTTTAAAGATCTTTTGCTCCTATCTTGAGAGAATCATAAGTTAATAAAGTCTCTTTGTCTTCTGACTTGTTCCTCAAAACCAACCAATAGAATCCATCCCAGAGTACTCTACATCGACATCGACATTCATCATGGAGACGGAGTCCAAGAGGCATTCTATCTCTCGAATCGAGTCTGCACAGTCTCATTTCACAAATATAATGGCGAGTTTTTCCCTGGCACAGGTACGATAGACGAGTTTGGATACGGATTGGGGAAGAATTTTAGCTTCAACCTACCTCTCTCGGATGGAATCGATAACGAAAGTTATGTAAACCTTTTCCGATCGGTGATGGAGCCGATCATCACAACCTTTCGACCTAGTGTGATTGTGCTTCAATGTGGGGCGGACTCATTGGGTGGAGATCGGCTGGGCGGCTTCAACATTAGCATTGCCGCACATGGTGAATGTGTCCGGTTTATTAAGGCTTTCCGCATACCACTCATGGTATTAGGTGGAGGGGGTTACACACCGCGCAATGTGGCACGTTGTTGGACGTACGAAACCTCCCTATTGGTCTCTGATACATGTCCGAGTATATCCAATCACCTCCCCTCTACGCCCTACGACTCGATTTTCAAAGACGAACCGCGTCTGCACGTCAATCTAGTCACTAAGGTTGACAACAGCAACTCCAAAAAGACACTCGAAGGTCTCCGGGTCGGAATCCTCGAACGCTTACGATATATGCATGGTGCGCCAAGTGTTCAGATGCAATTGATCCCACCTAGCCTATCACAATGGCTCGAAGAAGAAGAAGAGATGATAGAGAAAGAGAGGGAGAAAGCGGTGGATGAACGCCCCCCTCAGTCTCGCTCGACTGGCCTCCTCGATTACTTCCCCACAAATGCAAGACTTCCAGGGGCCATTATTCCTGCTCACGACCTGACTCCGGCTATAAAACCTTTGCCTGCCTCGCGTACGAGAGCTAACTATGGCCTCACCAACCCCGGTCGTAAACGCGCTCAAACTGCCAAGTCCAGCACTCAATACACTGCAGCTCAGGAAAAACAGAAAGACGATGCGGCTCGTGTGCAGGCATTGGCTAATCAAGTTGACGATCGCATGCAGCTCGGATGAACGGTTTCACTGCTCCACATACCAGAAATACCCCCCCCCCCTACTATCTTGTTATTCTATGCGCTAAAGACAGTGAATGGTGTTGATATTATGTAATTTGATGTACTGTAAAATTTGTCGACAGTCTATGTCCAACCAATTCACACAAAAATCCAAAAATATTCTACAGCATATACAAAGTTACAATCAAGTAAAACCAAATGTGGATTAAGAGATCAGTAGCTGCGGCTGATGATAGTTACATGGCCGTTGGGCCCCTGGGCCCCTTGAATATTCACAGTACCCCACTGCGCGAAATGTTGTCATGAAGTCAGTTGTTTATTGAGCTGGAAAATACACAGAAAGCTGTACAAACCTGATCACCACAAGTGTTGATCATTGTAGTAAAATCGGCCAGAGCGTCCTGCTTTGGGCTATCCAATCGAAATACGGGGTCAGTAATTCGGAATACAAAAGTAAGGCTATAATAACTCAGGTTTCAAAACTAACATTTTAACCTGTGATCCATCGGTTGTGTAGATAGTTACCTGATGACATCAATGGAGTCTAATGTCAGAGAGGATGACTTAAAATGACCCGGCAAAGGGACAGTATGTGCAGACGTGGACTTCGTATTGAAAGTTGACTTACCCGGCATGACTTGTATTTGGAGGTGTATGAGTGTCTTGGGCCCGGGGTTGCTTCATTCAGACTCATCAGGCTGCCTAGATTGTCCGTGGTGATCTGGTTGAATGCCCTAGTAGGTTGAAGCGACAGTTCTGGTCAGGGGCAAGCCATGCGAAGCGAGCAAGTGATCCTGAAAAGACTTACTGCATGCATTCTTCCTTGACAACCTTGCCTTCCGCCGCCGCGAAACAGAAGGCCTTCCCTAGCTCAACATCCGGATCGTATGGGCTGTACCAGTTTCGAGGTTTGGGTCGTGGAGTCACCCAAACCCCGACTTCCTGGTTGTCTTTGATTCTAACGTGCCCACTCTGAACGTCCAAAAACACAAAGTCTGGTCAGTTATTGGGCTCTATATTATTCCCCATCCGATGGGACGCAGTGCATACCTTGCAAGCTGTCAGGACCTCTGTAACTGTGTCATCGATCTGTTTTGTGGTGCTAAGGAGCAAAGACTTATTTATTAGATCAAAGCTCCCGCCCAACACTTGAAAATGCCCACTCACACCACAGTCTGCTTTGGATTATAGATTTCAATCTGACAGGAGAAACATATTCTAGTCAGCGCTATCAATAACTTCTGTCGGTTGATCAAAACACCCCATCGTCCCAAGGGGACGGAAGGAAAAAAAATGACTCACGAGACAGTCTTTGGAAACAACGGAGACTTTTGTTTCCACTTTACTGAGGATACCCTTGTCGTAGACAATTTTGGACTTTGCACTGGAGGACAAATACAGGATATCAGAACACGTCAGATCAAGCCAACACGGTTTCCTTGATGGCCAGCTTCGATGGATGGCATGAGAGTGGCCATAGGAAGACTGTTATATCTACACAGAGGGAAAGAGAGAAAAACGTACCGCTCGCAGTCCTCATTCTTGACCACCAGGTTGTTCAAGCATGCTGGTTTCTTGGCGGGTGGGCTTGCAGCTAGCACTTGGAGGCAGAGCATCGCCATCAACACGAATTGGAATACGGCCATTTGCATTATACTTTGATGGTTTTGGGGGTGGGGTTTAGGGTTATGATTATGTCGACTATCGCGAATTGGTTAAAGAATTTGAAGGAGAGAAATGTTCCTTTCCAAGATCTTGCTAATATCACAGTATTTCCACACGGATCAAGGAATAGGGCGGAAACGCAAAAGTTGTGGTGACCAACACTGACGTTGAATGGTTCGCTTGATCTGCTACGCCTATTATAAGGTGAAGAGAGATCCAGATACACGGTCTGGCTTTCAGTGACAATGTGGCCTTGTATCTTGGGGATTCAGACACCAGTTATACCCTTGTCTCCCGTGATCCACCCGCCGTTGCTATCCCGGAATCCGAACAACGCCCAGCCTCATAGCATCCATCGGGCCCGCCAACATTGGCCACTATGGTGACAACGATGTACATGCAACTTTTGGAAAGGCACCACCGGGCGAGCTCAAAACACCCTTCCTGCGAGAGCGCATTGGCAAGGTCTCGGTGATTCTGCCTCATAGCTGGAGCCTCACGCGGCGGGTGGCCGTCACCATGGACGCAGGCTAACTTATCAAAGTCCCTCTGAAATCGGAGGGGGGATGTTGCCGTCCCGCAGGGACCCTCCGAAGGAGGGACTTAGGCCTTAGGTAGAAATTCGCGCTCTAGCCTAATTGGAAGTTATCGGAAATCATCAGATTTAGGATATAATGTACTGTAGCTCCGTCGGTTTTCATGCTGGCAAAAAGTTTTCGCCGAGGGAAATAAGCGCTGGCTTCCTGCGCATCCTTTGACCGATGCCAAATTTCTATAGCTTGTCGGGTTGCAAACTTATGATGACTTCCAGGTTTCTCTCATGTTTTTTGATCTCTGTACGACTTGTCTGTATCATATGCAGTGCTTGAGACTTGTCGCGACTGTATTTCTAATACATTGATAAAAAAAGCTCAACATGACAGGCCGGCATCCAAATCTTCGATTAGATGTGCTGTTATGTCTCCTAAATCACAACCCGGGGTCATCTAAGTAACGCGTTCAAATTCTACTGCAAAATGCCTGTCAAGATCACGCGTCAGAGCAAAGCAGTCGAGCTTCCGAACAGTATACGCGATCTGCCGGATGAACTGCTCAAGAACCACATAACAGGAAGCTCGGTCGATTTCTATCACGATCGGCCTAAAGATCTGCAAGTGGAATCGGTATTGTCTCTGGTTCGCGGTGAGAACTGTTTTGTGCGCGCCGGCACTGGATTTGGGAAAACAAGGATATCGGAGATGTTCTTCAATCTCTACACGACGAAGGCGGTTGTCCTGGTTTTGAATCCATTGGACTCGCTCGGAGATGATCAGGTGAAGTGTTTCTTGTCCCCACCGATATACATGAAATAGGACTGAATGCAAATTTTGACCGATTTCCCAGGTCCGAGAAAAGACGTTGGTTAATATAACAGCAATAAATTTGAATAAAATGACTTTAAATTTTGAGACCGTTATGAAGATCAAGAAAGGCGATTACAGTTTTGTTTACCTTGTAAGTGAAATGGGATCCTGTTGATAGCGTATGTGGCTAGCTGACATTCTATATTTGGGCTTAGAGCCCTGAAGTATTTCTGAACAGCTCGCTCTTTACGGAGATGTTTTTCAGCAGCGACTTTCAAAATCTACTTGCATTAATTGTAGTTGATGAGGCCCACATGGTCTACCTGTGGGGCCTTGTAGCATCAAAACAGAGTAAAAGGCTGAACTCCTTTGACCGACATCAAGATCGTTCGGTATTTCGGCCATCATATGGTAGTATGTGCGATAGATTAATGGCAACAAATAATGTGCCGCTGCTGTTGATGTCGGCGACATGCCGACCTGTGGTGCTTGAGGCCATCACGTCGAATTTGAAGCTGCAACCAGAAGACATCAAATTAATCGATGGGGAGCTGACTCGGCCGGAAATTAGGTTGATACGTGTCTCAATGCAGTCAACACTGAAATCCTGTGACGATTTGCTCAGGATTTACGCCCCCAAGACAGCGGTTCCTTCGGAACAAGTGGTTCCGACAATCATATACTCTGGGACTCGGAATGGGACGTTTCAAGTGATGAGGGTTGTCAATGAGGCCCGCCACACAAAATGGCATGAATACGACCCTTTGGATTCATTCATTCGTCGATTTCACTCGGTTACTGGGGACGAAGACAAGACTGAGAACATGGCCGACTACGCCAAAGGCAAATACCCGGTGATTTCGGCTACTATGGCCTTAGGTCTAGGGCAAAACTTGAAGCGCGTGCGATGTGTTATTCACATGGGGCGTGGAGACCCATCATCAATTGTTCAAATGGTCGGGCGCTGTGGACGTGATGGAAAGACCGGTTTGGGCCTCCTGTTCATGGAGCCAATTAGGAAGAAAGGGAAAAACGATGTGGCTGCCTTTCCATCAAAGCAAATTCAGGATGATGATGATCGCATGGACGCTTTGGCGGTCACTCCTGTCTGTTTGAGGATTGCACTCACAATTGATAACAAGTTGAGTTAGTTTATTTTTTAGGTTTGGGTATACAATGGCTGATTTTCACTGTTGGCTTAGACATGGTTACATCCCATTGGCACTTGAAGACCCAGCCTATCAAGAAGAACAAAAGAGGGAACTTTCCAAGGGTTTTGAGATCTGCCGATGTTCCAATTGTTGCCCCGCCGAGGCTGAGGCTATTGTGAATTTGGCACAGCAAATGACGGTAAACAACTTTGATGCAATCCTGGCAGACCCACTGGCAATGCCAAAGGACGGCACGATTATTACGATGACCCGCAAAGCAAAGCCACGAAGGCCCAAGGGGACCTGTAGGCTGGTCCCTGAGGTGGCTGAAAACCTTATATTGTACTTGGTCGATGACTTCAAGTTGTTCTATTCTCAAGCACTAGGTCCATCGGCGGAATTCGACGCTTCAGATTTCTTTGGATTGTCACATGCAACAGCAGTTGTGGCACATTTTGACCAGGTCTGCGGGGTCATACCACACAACACCGAACTGGCGGAGAGGCTAATGGGTGGGGAGTTCTTTCCTGACCAGACAAGATGGCTTAATCAGTCTATCAGCAATTGGATGGAGGGGGAAGTTTATCAAGATGTTCTGCGGCATGAGGCATTCATTGCATCTGAAGAGGTTCGATTACGTGAAGAGATCGAGGCAAATTCCGAGGCTTTGCAAATTGAAAAAGCAGCATGGACGGCAGAGAAAAAAGCGAGGGCTCAAGCGGTTGTGGCCGCGGCAGCATTGCTGAGGAAGGAGGCTTCCGATGCAGCCAAGAAGGCAAGGGCGGAGGAGCAAGCAGTCGAGAAGAAGAGAAAACAGGAGGCATCAAGGCTTGCAAAGGAAGCTGAACAAGATCGCAAGCGGTTTGAGGCTGAACTGAAGAAGGCCCAACGGCTTCAAAAGCAAGCAGATGAGGCCTTTCAAAAGCAGGAGGCACGGCGATTGCGTAATCTGGCTGCTGCTGAAGCAAGGGCTGTGGTTGCAGCAAAAAAGGCGGATGAAAAACGGATTCGGAAAGAAACAAAAGAAAACAACAAGAAACGTGCGAGCGACAATCGAGACCTTCGAGGGATTGTCTCAATGAAGAGGCAAACAACTAGAGAGGAAATGAGGCAGGAGTTGGAGGTTTACAACACACATTTAGCCTTGGTACATCAGGTTCCGGGGACATCTCAATCGGCAGGGGACTCATGATCAGCTGAGGTCCATGTTGGATTGTTCACTATCCCCACTGCTATTGCTATCCGAGTCTTCACTGTGCCTCTCCAATGAATCAAGTGCCTGGGCTGGTGTGTTCTTGTCTTCCCCAAAGCTGATGGCCATATGCTCTTGTAGTTTGAGATCTCCTGGACTGTATGGCTTCAGTCGATCAAGTCCATCCTTGTCAAATTCCTTTTGTAATTTCTTGACTCCTTCTCTGTATGAGTCCGGGACTACCTCTGGTTGAAAGGCACCTGCTTGGAATGTACAGAACTTTTCCTTGTTTGCCATCCGGATGAAGTTGTTGATTGATAATGTTGAAAGACGGTTCTTGTGTGACTGATGGAAGACGTTGCAACCAGACTCGTGTTTTAACAACTGATTCAGGAAGCGCAACTGCCGCAAATGTGATGAATGAAAGGTCATTAGTAAGGGGTGAAAATGTGGAATATCAAAGCAAGACCCACCGTTGGAATATTTATTGAAAAGACATCCTTCAACCGGTCTATCTCGGTCCCAATTCCTGAATGATTGAAAAAATACTTCAACCAATAATTCTCTATTTCGAGGTGGAAATCGGTAGCAACAAATCGCTTGCTTTTGCCAGTAGGGCAGATAAGTAGGGTACTTTTGATAATACTTGCTAGTGAGGGTGGCAACACCTCATTTAGGAGGATTATCAGCCTTGGAAGATGTTTTGAGTAGTGGGGTAACTTTCCAATAGCCTGGCTCATGACAGCCCATCTGGACCACATGTACATGAGACGGCCTGGGTCACCTGCCCTCATTGCACGGACGGCTTCAATAATTGTTGCGAAGTCCCTGATTCGGAGGATCATATTTGCATGTGTCTTGGACTTTTTCGCGAGTTCGGACTTCTGGGCCCCACCTGAGCAAAACCGATCATAAGTCTCCTGGACCAATTCACTGATTGCTTTGGAAGACATCTTCATGAGCTCTGGTCCTAATGGTTCATGCTCCTTTCCTAAGATGACCCTGCAGCCAAAATGTGTGTCAGCAACTATGGATAACCCACTTCGTCCATAGTCCATTTTAGAACTCACAAGACACAATATATTAGAGTGACCTCATGAATCTTTTGGATATGGGACAACATCAGGTTGAAGTCCTTTTTAGTTACTGGCTTGTCTGCTGGGATGCCTAATGCATGAAGTGTTCGCCAGGCACCAGTGTCGCGCGAGTGTGTCTCATTCCCCCAATGGGATAGGAATATTGCCTGCGCCAGATTCCAGAGGGTATGAGCAGCCCCGGGGATTGGTAGGATATTGTCAAGGGCAGTTGCATGTTGTCGTCCTGGTGTTCGTTGAGCCCTCAGTGAGTCAAATATGTTACACGAGCCGAGGTCGCCTTCAACCAGTTGCAGTCGACTATGGAACTCTTCTGGTGTCAAACCGGATTGCTGAATAACCCCAGTGAAAACCTCTCCAACCCCAGTTGCGGAATTATCTGAAGCAATCATTAATTTTAACATTGAGATGTTTGGCAATTCAGGGGCTAGTGCTTGCACCGGAGGCGGGTCTTTGGACAGTTCTATCTCCCGATCGACTGGACTGGCAATATACCGGAGGACCACTTGCATAATTTGCGATTTTAGGCTTGCTTCAAAGTGGTTGGTGCTATGAAGGGTTGGTGCAAACATCCTGGGTTGTATTTTGATTTTAGATGCGTTGTGAAGTGCCTGCTTGAGGGCCTCAGTTGTGAGTTGGGTTGGATCAAGAGATTTCCGCACACTTGGGGGTATAGAGTGTATATACCCCCAAGTCCCATGAAACATGACACTTGAATGTCCAACAGATTTCATGTGGACTTTCTGTTGGAAGTCCAAGTTATCATAGCAGATGATTGGCGGAAGCAATGGGGCCTTTTCAAGTGAGAAGCGGGTGATGAGATTCTTTTCGGCCTCTTGCCCAAGGGACTTGAGGGCAACGTGTGCGGTCTTTCTTGATGAGCACAATCCTATGTAGTTAAGGTACGAGTTGACCCGCTCGGTCACACCAGAAGCCATGAAAATCAATGAATTGCTAAGTTGGAATCCGTTATGACGGCGGTTTGTTCCAAAAGCAAGCATAGCACACATGGTCCTTGCCATCTGTCAACAGCATCCAATGATCCACACCCAATAAGTTCCAGAACATTTTTAGTGAGGTCAAATGCATTGAGTACGCACCGTTTCTACCCGAACCCTTCTGCGCACTCGTCGGTCAGTGCTCCTGCAGAGAAACCCGCCTTCGAATTCGTTGATGTCATCCTCAGTTAAATTGAAGTTGTCTTTGGGCGGAAGAGTAGCCCCGTCAGAATCCAGAGGGCCCAGAGGATTGCTTTCATCTCGGTTAAGGGACTCCGGCGGCATGGCATCAGTCGCCTCAATGTTGCTCCCTTCTGGACCAAAAAGGTCGCCCTGAGCCAATCCTTCCAATTCCTCATCATCGGCTAGATCACACCCTTCTCCTTCTTCATCATCACCTAAATCCTCACCCGCCTGCAGCTTGGCAAACATCAGCTTATACATGAAGGGCATCTGATTTGTCAAGGCCCGATTGCGCGCCAAACGTTCGCGCTCGGTGAAGAAGTCAACGGACACGCTGGCCGAGTTGACGTATGCACCCTCCGGATAATTACCGCTTCGAGGTCTCTCTGAACGCGCAATCGAAATAGCCTGATTTCATGTAGATCACATGTCAATTGCATCAACCTTGAGAAGCCCAAAAGAAGATGCTCACCTGGTCTAATATGAAGGCCTCCCAGTGTCCTTGGCCTTCTAAGTGTGCACATACTAGATTCTTCACCGAGTCAAGCAGCCGTTCGGTTCCCGGCCATCCAACAGTACCCCAAAATCGTCGACGGAACGCGGCATTCATCACGCTGTGAGACAGGAAAGCAGTCAAGAAACTCTTTGGAGTTAAATTGAAGCTCTCAATGTGGGAGCAGATCGATGCAATCTTCTCTTCCATTGTAAACCGAGTCCGGGTGGGGGTAGCCATTGCAAAATTTCAGCTAGATAGGGATCGGCGAAAACGAGTTCAGCTAGATATGGATCCGCAAAAACGAGTTGGATATATGGATCGGCGAAAACAAGTTGGATCGGCGAAAACGAGTGACGAGCTTTAGGCGAAGCTCTCTGGATAGTGTCTGTGATAACGGTCTCTACCCTTCTCTACCTATATCACGGACTATGCCGACATAACAGTGTATGTAACAGCCAGCCCACTTGGAATGTCGGAGATCATTTTGGGGGCTGTATATGCAGCCCACCTCCTTCATGTAACAAGCTGAGAAGAAATGGAAGATCTCCATCAAACTCTCGACCGGGCTGACCCTCCTTGGGTGAAAAACCCTCACTTGGATTCCGGATAGGATCTCAAGGAGAGCTCAGAGAGCTATGAGACCTAGACATCCAGGAAGGCCAGGCCGATGCGGTCATTGTGATACACAGCTGTTTGGCTGGGGACCTAGGGGCGCGAAGGAATTCTCATTTGGAAATTTTCCCCTGCAAAACTTGAAATAGGCTAGAGGGGGAATTCCAGTATAAGCTGTAAGTCCCTCCCTCCGGTCGGCGCAATGCGACCAGTGTCTCACCACTCCGTCATGTAGGAGGGAGCCTCCCTCCGGTCGGCGCAATGCGACCAGTGTCTCACCACTCCGTCATGTAGGAGGGAGGGACTTTTTTAAGTTAGGGACGCAGGACTAGGACTGAATGAGGTCGTCCAAGTTTTCCAAGCGTAACAGCACGCCCACAAAGGTCTGTCGCGCGTTGAATAAAAGAAACATGAAGGGCGGCCAACTGAACATCTTGGGTCCTTGGGTGCGGATGGGAAGCTCGCTTTCCATTTAACCAATGACCTAACATGATCCATCTAATGGGAAGACGAAGACCATCCTCGCAGACAAATCTCTGAGAACCTTATTTTGAATAATCTCGGTAAGTTTTTGTTCAACAGACCGAGTTGATAACTATGTTAGCCTACGCCATATCCTGATTCCTATCCGACACGAAGTGTGGGTACTAAAAGTCGAACGTTTCCGACTTGTTATGAATTGTAATTTGTATGTACAAATTTCTTGTAAAGCCACTGTGTGTTGTTAGATTGGGCATTTTGTTGATTTATAATTTTCAATTTTTGACTCACTTTTGTTTCAATATTCATCTATGTACCAGACAATTGACACTTACTGACAGACAATTCATGTGTTTAATTTGACGTACTCTTTTTCAATCAAGAAACCTCGGATGGAGCACACTCTTTCCAATATTTACTTGAACAATGGGATTGAATTCTTTCCACATTGGTTCCTAGAGCCAAACATTCAAGTCTTTGGGTGTGTTAGCTGGAACAAATGAGCGCCAAGTCAGCTAATTGATTAGTTTTTTCTCCAAAAAATAAAACCAATTTCCCTGACCTTGTTGTGTACCTAAAACAGATTCCTTTGAACTATTTTGCTTTTGAAAAATGGTTTAGCAGTGGTGAATCGTGATTTGATGAACCATATGGTGGCTGAAAGCTTTTTGTCCGGACTTTGTCCCTGGCTATCTGGTATTTTCCCCTGCAATTTTCACTTTTCACAACATTTTTTCACTGGGCAATTTAAAAAGACAGATTGGCTCTAGGAAATAGTCAAATTTTTCAAACACTTGTCTATTGGTAAAAGTAACTTAAAATAGATATACTTTCTCCCGGGTCCCAGTGGGAGGCAGCGGCTCAGTGTCAGTTTTGATTCAGGTGTGTAGGTCCAGCTTGCAAGATACTCAAGAGCATTAAGGAATAACAAGAGTATTTTTTCAATTAAAGGAGAGATAGGAATAGTACAGACTTCAATACACATAACTAAGAGTATGACTATGATAGCTGAAGACAGCATTTCAAATCCTAATGTAATGCATCTTGAAAAAAAAAAAACTATTTTAACATATTTGGGATGAGTTGAGGCTCCACTTTGAAAATCACTGAGACAAGTCAGACACCAATTGAAGTTTCCATGAAGTACTAAAATGGAATTGTGTTGCACAAACATTAGCAATCTTTCCCCTTATACGCTACATGACTATTGCAATCCTGTCTATTGTCCCCTTCCTATACTCAGTGCTAGGCACTTTTTTCAAAAAGGCATTAGCATGGTAGCACTTTTTTTTTAGCACGAAAGCTGTGGTTTAACTGTACGGAGCTTTCTGATGTGTTCCTGGGTGCTACAGCACAAAAAGCCACCAACCAACATAGTTGCCGTGTTTTTACAGAAGGAGACATTGGTGTTGGCACACAAGACTTCTGAAATTTAACAGAAAAATGTTGATTGGTGGGGGCATTGCACTGGTACTACGTAGTTGGTGTTGCTGGCCTTCCACTATATACAGGATGTACTTTTCAATTTGTCCACAGTCTATGTCTAATGAGTCAACAAAAAAATGAAGGAATATTCTACAATTGAAGAAGAGCTACAATACTTGATAAAAGCACATGGAATTGACACCCATGTTAAGGATTGACAGGTCAGTTACGGTATTAGGGCGTCCCCCATTGCAGTGCGACTGATGATTGTTACATGTCCATTGGGACCCTCGGCACCCTTAATATTTACTGTACCCCACTGCATAAGAAAGGAGATACATCATCCAGTCAGTTGTTTACGATTTGGACGGTTAGGTTCTGAAGAAAGACTTGCTCACCTGTGAATCGCAGTGGTTCATCATAGTAGTTACGACGGCCAAGGCATCCTGTTTTTTGCTGTTTGATTGTCATAAGGAGTCAGTATCAATACTTATTATACTGTCAAGCTATTCTGAGTTCAAATACTGACACAAGAGCTTTTGATCCATCGGTTGTGTAGACAGTTACCTGATGACAACAAATTGGTTTTCATGTCAGGATAAGCTGTCTCAAAAGGCGCACATGGCAGAAAGATCTCTAAATGTGGAGGTGGGCTTGGGAGTTGTAAAGTTGACTTACCCGACAAGATTTGACTTTAAAATTCAATTCGTGATCTAAGCTTTTGGTAGCTGGACTAACCAGCAGACCTTGTTTGTCTACGGGAAGGTGTTTGAATGCCCTAGCAAGTCATAGAAGACATCTCTGGTCAGAGGCAAGTCAAGAGAAGCAAGCAAGTGATCTTGACAAACGCTTACTCTAAGCAGTCTTCCTTGACCACTTTGGCCCCTTGGAAACAGAAGGGCTTCTCTAGCGGGAAATCCGGATCATATGGAGTGTACCAGTTTCTAGGTTGGGGGCGTGGACGGACCCAGACTCTAACCTCTGGGTTGTCTTTGATCGCAACACGACCACTCTGAACGTCGAAAAGCATGAGGTCTGGTCAGTCATCGGGGTCTACATATACTGCAGTGATACCAATCTTCGGGGATGCCGCACACACCCGACAAGCCGATAGGATCTTTGTAACCGTGTCCGAAATCTGTTTTCTGGTGCTAAAGGATCAAAGACTCATTTAGACCAATGCCCTCACCCGGTACTGAAGTGGGAGTAGTCACTCACACAGAAACCTGCTTGTTATTGTAGACACGTATCTGGTGAGAGAAGCAGTTTCCGGTCAGCACAGTTGATAATTTCTGCCTTGGTGCGGTCGATCGATCGAGCACCCATGACCACGATTGAACGGAGAGAAAGCAATCGCTCACGAAGCATCCTCCAGAGGCGACGGTCACCCTGGTTTCTAAGAGGCTAAGGGTGTCCTTTTGGTAGATGATTTTGGCCAGCGCACTGGTGGGTTAGGTTCATTAAATCACATCAGATCGAGGAAAACAAACAGACATCCCGAAAATTCCTTCATACCCAGCCGAGCGAAAGGAAGGGAGGTGCCGGCAATATATGTGTTCAATCAAGAGAGAAAGAAACAGAAGCGTACTCGGTACATTCCGTCTTCTTGACTACCTGCTCATTAAAGCATTCCGGAACCGCCGAATCCGCTGGTCCGGCTATTGTCAACTTGCCGGGGGTACTTGCTGCTAGTACTTGGAGGCCGAGCAGCGCGATCACGATGAATTGCATCAAAGCCATTTGGGTATATTCTGATTGTGTGAAATTTGATGGTGTTACCTAAGAATGGGTTGGGTTAAAGAATCCTTTGGATGGGAAGAGATGTTGCTCTTATCACAATATTTACACACTGATTGAGGGTCGATGGGGTGGAGAGGAAATTGAGCGAGGTGGTGAGCAACGATGAGCTTAAAAAAATAATCCACCTCGTCTCAAGCTGAGAAGACAGCCAGATACGCGGCACCAGTCTCAATGCAACCATGAGCCTGTGATCACTAGGAGATTCTCATCATCCTTGTCTGCCGCATTCGAATCCACCCGCCATCGCCATCCCGGAATACGCACGACGCTCAGCCCCAATATAGCGTCCGTCGGGCACGCCACCAGTGAGCATAGGCCACTATGGCAACACTTCAAGGCCTGGATCCGTGATTCGGATGATGGATGCTGAGGGTCATCGTCGTGCAACTTCTGGCAAATCCTCCAACGGAAACCCCAGTTCTTCGGGGGAAACAGGAATTAGAATGTACTAAACTGAAACCGAAGATCTATAGCGGAGGTGGTGTGAGACGACACCTTGAGAGATGGGCGACTCCAGTCTGTATCACTAACTTAACCCAAGTCCCTCGATCGGAGGGCCTGTACCAGGCGGGCGCAAGCGCCCCTCGCGAAGCGAGCCTCCGAAGGAGGGACTTGTGAGTAAAGTAGGAATATTCGCGTGGAAGCTGGAGGGAGTTAGTAGGCAAAAAATTTGCCCTTACATTTTCCCCTACTTCCACATGGAAGTTTCATCCGCCGTTTGGACTAGTCCAACGGCGTGCTTCTTCTGAAGCCTTGGGTCTTGACCACAGGTCACGGTGCCCTCTGGATTTGGGAGCACCGGCCATTGAAGATGGTCATTTTGCTTCGAGGTCAAAGAAGGCCATCGAATTACTTCCTCAGGATTCCCGCATAGTCTGACATACTGTGCTTGTGGCTGATTATGTGTGGTCAAAGCCTGTATCAGGCTGTACTTGACGCATACTACCGGTATTGACTGCCTGACAAAATGACATGAAGAGATAGTGATATAACGATCCGAGACTGCTGCTTTTGATCTATGATTGTAATGCCAGTTAGCAAACGAGCTCCTGATCTTATTCCAAGTGGTCGGAAGCATCACACTGCGGCAATTGATTCGCCTGGCTGATCCTCAAATGGGCCTGCCACTGCCCGTTTCATCTTTGGAATCATCTTAAAGTACATCTCCGATATCCGCGACTTCCCAAACCCGGTACCTGCCAAGAGAAACGTGTTGCGGCCTCGCGCGAGATTGAAGACGGTATCGACCTGCAATGGCTTTGCCTCCTGCTGGTAAGTATCCATCGAGGTTTGCTTGATGAACTCCTTGAGCTTCTCATCGGTCTTTTCATAGATTTTCTTGTACAGATTGACTCCGGTCGGTGTTCGCACCCGCTTGGCAATAGATAACTGATGCATGATGAGGAATGGGTCGGTTGTATAAGACTTTAAGCGTAGCGATCTTAAGACTGGAACTGGTTCATTGGAGGATGAAGGTCAATATTGCTCTTCTTGTTATTTCGAAATTCTCTGCTCATTCAGACCAATCCTTCATCCAAACACATAAATACATTATCACATACAACGGTTATAAGTACAGCAGTGTGGCACTTACAGCTCCTGTACATAATCAACTAGGGGCTTCATTTGACATCTGTAAGGGACATACTATTCATTTTACCACTTGTTATGGAATAAACTCAATTTCTGCTGGATTTGGATCCCTCACTTTCCATCCAATGGATGGATAAGTGATCACAACAAATGTTACAAAAAAAAATTACCGGCCAATAGGTCATATGCTCACCTATGTGACAAGCTCAGCCCCGGCCCGTTTGGTTGGATGGGCCAGGAGTAGCGGACAGTTTAGAGGAAAATAGCCAAGAAAAGCCACAAACTGTACCAGCTTCCAGGCCAGAATTGTGACTTCACTCATAAGCCCCTCTTTCAGAGGCTCGCTTTGCGAGTTGCCTATGGCCCTCTGTCGAGGGGATTTGTTAAGCTAGTCTGTATCATGGGGTTAAACCTTCTGAGGATCCTTGCGCCCGTTTTTCCACTTGAGGCCATCCCCCATGATCTCCCAACATCCAAACCGCTCAACTTGTTAAGATTCTGATTTCTTTCGGGCTCGGCAGCGTAGATGTGGAAACACTCTAGTGCCAAGTTCCAACCCCTTGAAAGCCTCACGACATGTGTGCCAGCGCCCGGCTCGCTCTGGAAACCCTTGCATGCGCGGGCTCTATATCCGTCTGTCCAATTCTCAAGCGCCATGTGAACGATAGGCATATTTAACAGAGAGGACAGCAGAGGCTTGGATATCCAACGGTGTGGTATGTTTGATGAAGAACGTGAAGAAAAATTTCCGGTCAAAGTGGCCATCAACTCGGTTGTCCTAAGAAATAGTTCTGGGACTCGGAACTGAGAAATATTTTCAAGAGCGTGTTTGTTATAATCTTACAGAATGGAAGCCTCTACAATTATGTAAAACAAACGCCCTCAGATGTGATCACAGGGTAATGAATTAATGCATATGTATTTCGTTTTTTTTTTCTAAAAAAAGGTTAAGGTGAGGTATAACTTATATAAGCAAAGAAAGGGGGGGGGGGGTGACACAACTGAGTAGATAGGTGTTCAATTTGAGGGGAGAAAAGGGGGAGAGAAAGAGGGAACACGTATCCAGTTGAGATGTACATAAAACAAGGCATAGAAAGATACCAAAGAGAAACAAGAAATGAGCATGGAACAGCCAGTTGAAAGATGAGGAGATATCACCAACAAGGAATGAATACAAAGAATGATCGAGAGAAAATGGTATATGACCAAGAGGCGATGGGAGGGGTAAGAACGAGTTTATAAAGATTGGTGGGACAAAAGGCGCTGTTGGTGGGCGATCAGAAAGGACCACAAGTGCTCGGGTTGCTTGAAGTCGTGGTCAATCAGACTGCATAACCAGTACGAATCTTCGATCTGGTTTAACAGTCTTTGGTTGGCAGAATTCGGCTCGAAGGATTCTGCCCAATCGTTCCAAATCTCAAATGCTTGTTTCTATTAAACACACCCATCCATAAGGAAAAAACAGCTAAGAATCAATTGCAAATCCACAATCTGAGGTGATGATGTTTCGCTTATCAGATGAGAGTATCACGGACCTTCCAAGTTTTGAAACTCTGGGCTTCGATGAGAGTAGTAGTGACCACTTCAGCGCCTCGAAAGACGCCCCAAGTGACGGCATTAGTTTCACCAGGGGCCATGTTACTACGGATCTGATCTTGGTTACAGTTCCCAGCATAGTAACGCAACTGGGCGACGCCGTCGGAATGTTCTTTATTGTAATCATCTACGGCCGACAGGAGGCCTTCGAGATGGGCGTGAGGGACGAAGAATTCGACGAAGGATTTCTGGTAGACCCGGCCGCCTTGGGGTCCGAATCCGACGACCGAATCCAAAGAATCAGCACCATCGATAGCCGGTTGAGAGCCGACTGTCCACCATCCATTTTGATTGAGCTTGAGGAGGAAGGGGGTGATAGATGAGGTTTCAAGTGCTAGAGGCTCTTCGGACCATGGCGTCGAGGGGAGTTTTCCTTGGGTGAATGCGCAAAAGATCTGGGTGATATCTTTGAGAGAAGTTGGGGTACCCCATAGCGCATGGACATCGGTTGTCAGATGGGAAAAGGCGCTCGTCAGACTCGAGCTATAACCTTCACGAAGCCCGAAGGCCGGACTACGTTGGTCACCAAATCGACCGTTGGGGAATTCATCCCAACCGACTGAGAGTCCGCCTTGGACGATTTCAGCCGTCCCGATCTTCACGCTAGGTCCTAATAAGGGCTGACAATGTTTGATCCCTCCGGGTGACCAGCCGAGTTGATTGACGAGCCTGGTGATGCTCCGTTCCAGATTCAACGTGCATAGATGGAACGATTTGAAGCCGTTGACTTGCAGTCGTTTGATCATCTGCGTCGAAAGTTCTACCCCATAATCTCGCACGGCTTGGTCGTCCCCCTTGATCGGAATCAGTTTACTGTGAATCGATTCCGGTATATTCGTCTTGCAGAGCGCCGTCAGCCGGCGAAAGCCATCATAGCTTTGGATGGGCATGATGCCTGGAATGATTGGGACATTGATTCCTAAACCAATTTTCATGTCATTAAACACATATCCTTGCAGAAAAAAGGAGGAAGAAACTTGTGGGAAAAGGGTGAGGATGAGTTCAATGTACCTAAGTTCCGGCAAGCCTTGACCCAATTAAGGAAGATATCGACGTCATAGAACAATTGGGTGACAACGAAATCAGCCCCAGCGTCGACTTTCTGTTTAAGATAATTTAACTCTTGGTCTTGATCGAATTCGGTGGTCCCTTCAGGATAGGCAGCAACCCCGATACAGAAATGGTCTTGGTGTTCTTTGCGGATATATTTGACTAGATCGATGGCATGTTGGAATTCATGGTCCGTGGGGATCCAGTGTTCAGTCCCTCTGGGGGGGTCACCTCGAAGAGCCAAGATGTTGACAATTCCGGATTCCTTGGCTTGCTGACATATTTTTCCAAGGTAAATGTCAATTTTCATTTTTTTTTTTATTTTGTTTTAAAAAATTGGTGGGATGAGATGAGACTGACAGCTAGAGTCTGATCGAGATGGGTGCGTTGGATATTAGTGCAAGTGAGATGGAGACAGGCAGGGATGGCGAGTTGATCCTGGACCATGGCGGCGATCTCCAAGCTAGTATCTGAGGTCGAGCCGCTTGCACCCCAGGTGACGTGGGCACAGCTCGGTTTGAGGTTGGCCATCCTTTGAATTCGGGCATACAAGTTCGACAATCCATCGATCGTCTTGGGTGGAAAATACTACTAATTGTAAAATAAGTTGAGAATTCAGTGATTTAGTTTTTTTTCTTTTTTTGGAGACTGATTCGACTTACTTCGAATGTGAAGTATACTTGATCTTCCTTGAGTGATTCGATCAGTTGGACTACTTTCTTGGCCATCTTCTTTGTTGGTTGTTTTGTTTGAGATCCAAGCTGTTTGTTGAGTATGTGTAGTGTTTTTGAGGAGTGATGCGCTTGTGGGATCCGATTCACTTTCACGCAGATCCTGGCTGTGACAGGTGTGTGTCTCCTCACCCTTCCATTCCCGGAGGGATTCCCCCGGTCGAAATTGAAAGAACTCCCGTTGCACAGCGGCTTCTTGAGCTTTTTCCTAAAACGCGCACCGGATCCTGATCAGCTTTCCACAACTTAGAGAAAAGTACTGTGCTCACTTTGGCCAGAAAAGGGAATTATAATCAGCAACAAGATTAAGTTCATGCCTGCTCCGGACTCAGGATGCCTGGTGATATTTTTTAACAAGTCACGTCGGTCCTGATGTATCCGGCATGTCTTCCTTTCAATCGCGAGCTCGTCTGAATACCATCACATACATACAAAGCTGAAAGAAGAGCCATCTCATGATCAGGCGTGACAGAGCAAGTCTTTTGGATTCCGGGTTTGGCTCTCTCCCTGTGATCGACGGCCCCCGGGGGAGTGGTCTCCGAGCCACCCGAAGTCAGGCCGTCCACACCATGTTGGGCAAGGTTGGGCAACTGATGTCAGCCACACCAACCCAGCAAATTTCAGAAGCAAATCCACAATAGGACGCAATAGGAACATCAACAACATCAACAAGAAGAAGAAACAGCAAAAAGAAACAAGAAAAACATGAAGCACGCTCCAGCTCAAGCTTACATCCATCAGCCTCAGTCTTAAAGAAAAGAAGAAGAAGAAAACAACCTCAAAGGACACACTCAATTCAAGACCATTTACATAGAACCGAACCACAGAAGTTCTGCACAAAGAAAGACCCATCGACCACCGGTCCTGCGCTGCGATGTCAGCCGCTTCCACCTCATCCTCCTCAGACCAACCCGCGCCCAAAAGCCTAACGGTCTCGACTCCCAGGACCCTCGCCTTTGCCTCGATCATCTGGCCGACCGGCTCAGGAGGGAGACGGACGGAGGCGGAGATCGACCAGGCCCACCAAGCCCTACGCCGGCTGATCCTCACCGACCCGTACGACGAGGTCTGTCTCCACTTATCTCTATCACACACACAACAACCTCTGACACCATTCGTTTGGGTTATTTTAGATAGAAGCCACCCAGCTCAGGGCTACTACCTGGAAGATCTTGCTCGGCTCGCTCGAGTGTCCCGCCGCTTACTACTTCGACCTCGCCAACAGACCCCAATCTACTTGGTACCCCAAGATCCGTAACGATACCTTCCGCACCCTGGCCACCGATAGCTCCTTCAAACAGCGCGTCCATGAAGACATGCTCGTCAGGCTCTTGGAGAGCTTTGTCTGGAGGTCTCACGGTTTGTTCCCAATCTCCTATATATACTCATAAATCAGAATCTGAATTATCTCATCATCATCTTTTCCTGTCCGACACACAGACCTGTCTGAAAACCCACTAGACGCCACCGACAGACCGTACGACTTCACATACGTCCAAGGCATGAACGTCTTAGCGGCACCCTTCCTGTACACGATGCCATCGGAACTGGAGGCCTTCTATGCGTTCACCAGGTTCATCGAGTTCCATTGTCCGCTATACGTCCAACCTACTCTGGAGGGCGTCCATCGAGGCCTGAAGGTAATCCCGCTCTTGTCCGCTTGTCATCTGTGACCTCATAACTAATCATCGCTCTGACTTCTCTCGGATGTTAGTTGTTGGACGAATGTCTTAAAATTGTGGATCGGGAATTGTTCGATTACTTGCGGTCTAAAAACCTAGCTGCAGAAATCTACGCCTTTCCATGTGAGTCCGTCCTAGCCGATTTCCATCACGTAATAAAAAACATGATTTTCATTGAAGAAAAAAGGAACCAAGAAGCACTCATTCATCACAACCCCTTTTCTGGATTGGTCATATACATAGCGGTCTTGACGTTTTGCGCCTGTACTGAGCCGCTCGACCAGGTCCTGCAATTGTGGGATTACTTGCTGGCCTTCGGCGTCGGGCTGAATGTTCTCTGTGTGATCTCGCAGCTGTACATGATGAGAGATCGGGTCTTGGCTCATCCGTCGTCAGTCGAGCTTCCTCCTCTTTACTGATTTCCCACAGAAAACCAAAAAAACAACCCAGTTTCCGTCTCAATTACAATCTTTCCTGACTGATCGTCACTTGATAATCTTATTGCTTTTTGTTTGGTTTTGGGTGTGTTTGTGTAGGCCGATGGCTCTTTTACGAAAGTTTCCAACTTTGGAGGCCCGCGAAGTGATCATGTTGACAAACGTATTCATCCGCGAACTGCCCAAGTCGTTGTACGATAAGATTGTCCGGCATCCATTCGAGAGTCACATCATCGACAAATAATCATCTACACCCTCCCCCCTCGTCGTTTCTTTCGCTTTTCTTTTTTACTATTTGCTTGGTTGGTTTGTGTCAGCTTCCTTCTTTGGGGCTAGGCTAGCTCCCTTCCTTTGCTGTTCAAGTACTTGGAGACTCGTTTTGGGTAGAACATCTCCCTCATTTTATTCGTCTTGCTTTATTTCTCTCCCCTTTTCTTCTACTTCATCCTTGTCATACACACCCCATCCTTGTCATACACACACCCTGTCCTACCCAAGTTGTACTTTTTTCATCTTAGCATAAGTCAGTAACATCATACCGTTTTCACAAGAAATTTCTTGAGGTGTTGGATTAGAAAAAAAAAAAAAAACACGGAAATCTCAATCATGAATAGGTTATTTGTGACTTTTTTCTTCAAGACCAGGCTGAACACTTCAAAGAACTTGGAGGAGTAATCAGTTTATGAGATGGTAGATCATACTGATCTCAAAGACAAGATCATAGAGAAACAAAGGGACCAGTGAAGAGAGAGAATCAAGTGAATAAGAGAATGGAATGGGATTTTAACAATTTACACCTACAACTTGCAAGGCACTAATCTTCTTGAATTGTTGTTTTATTTAGAAAGAAGGAGAGTGATTTTCATCTAATGTAACATGATGTATGTAATTTTGAATTTATGCACAGTGTGGGTTTAATGAACCCCCCAGAAAAAAAAAAAAAAACAGGAAATGTGATACAGTTGGACAAAGATTCATTTGCCGGTCATGATAGCCACACGTCCATTTGGCCCCTCAGCTCCCTTGATAATCACAGCCCCCTCCTGCACAAACAATTGCACAAATTCAGCTGTTTACTTCGTTGAACAAAAATGTAGAAAGCCTCACAAACCTGTGAATCGCAGGTGTTGATCATGTTGTTCACAATGGCCAGAGCATCCTGTTTTTTACTGTTTCATCCACATACCGGGTCAGCATCAACACATTCACCAGTAAGCTGATTATCCCCAGGTTTTAAATACTGACACAAGAACATTTGTCCCATCGGTTGTGTAGATATTGATCTAGTGACAAGATTTGAGTTTAATGTCATGTAAGTTGTCTCAAAGGGCACAAAAGGGCTGCAATTCAGTTTGGGTCAAGATTACTTACACGGCATGAGTTTACTCTCAAGTGGAATTGGTATGCTAGGCTTTTTGTATCTGGATTGATGAGCTGGCCTTGATTGTCCACGGGAAACTGGTTGTATGCTCTAGCAGATCAAAGAGGCTTGTCGGATCAGGGGGAAATTCAAGCAAAGAAAACAATGATCTTGAAAAGACTAACTCTAGGCAATCTTGCTTCGAGACCTTGCTATCCGGGAAACAGAAGGGTTTCTCTAAAGGAAAATCCGGATAGTATGGGCTTTGAGTTCCGAGGCGTTGAGAGACAACAACGTCGACCCCCTCGTTGTCTTTGATGTGAACATGACCACTCTGAGCATCAAAAATCATGATGTTGGGTTATTTATTGGGCTGGGTCTGCTTCAAAACTCATATTCTGGGAGGCATAACACACCTTACAAGTCGATAGAATCTTAGAGACCGTGTCTGTGATCTGTTGTTTGGTGCTAAAAAAAATAAAGACTGGTTCAGATCACAGCTCAAGCTCGACACTTGGAATGCCCACTCACACAACAGCCTGATTTTGTATATAGATTTTTATCTAGTTATAGGAGAAACAGTTTCTGTACCGTCAATAACTGTGGGTCGATTCAGCTGAAAAAATTGCTCACAAGACAGCTTCCTGAGGCGGCGGATACTCTTTTTTCCAATTTATTCAAGATGTCCTTGTCGTAGATGATTTTGGACAATGCACTGGTATAGAACGGGATCAGAACAAGTCAGATCATCCAAACAGACAGCCCAAAATAAATTCCCTGATAACCAGCTGCGATAGATGATATGATAGGAAGCCAAGCGTACTCGGCACACTCCACCTGCTTGACTTCCTGCGATTCAAAGCAGCGCGGAACCGTGGGATCATTTGGTGTGTTGTCGAGGGGACTGGCTAGCACTTGGAGCCCAAGCATTGCGATCAAGAGAAGGTGCCACAAAGCCATTTTGGATTGTTTGGAGGTGGTATGTATAGCCTGTCAAGTATGGGTGAAAGAATCCGTAGCTATCAATATTATCACAATACGTGCCAACTGATTAAGAGATGGGAGGAAGATGACAGGCAGCTTGTGGTGCCTATCGGTGTCCTTAAATAGCATAACAAATCACCTGCACCACGGGGCAATTGAACCAAAGTTAGGTGGTCTCACTGAAACCACAGTCTCCAGGTGGCCAATAATATGTAGCACGACCTTTTGATATGTAGACGCGATAGTCTAGCGGGACGACCCAGGTCCCAGGGGTGCAACGGAGGCCGGGGAGACTACACTCCTTGACCGACATGTCATGGTGACCCATCATAGCTGAGTCCGCACGAGGGCGGTTGAGCGCTTATACCCTGGGGCCGCCCCGGCAGTGAGGTTTCAAATGGTTCCAGGGCCTGAGGCCATTGTGACAGACTCGAGAGTCGACGCATGGTGCTCTGGCGCCGCCCACCCCAATGACCTGACCGACATTTGGATAGGTGTGCCCGGGTCCCCGCCGGCCATTCTACGCTGGCGTCAACACAACCCTCATCTTGTTTGGATTTGTTTCGTGTGTGTATGTAGACCGATGGCCCTGTTGAGAAAGTTTCCCACCTTGGAAGCCCGCGAAGTGATCACCTTAACCAACGTATTCATCCGGGAACTACCCATCCGGCATCCATTCAAGAGTCACATCCTTGATAAATAAACAACACGTCCCCTCCCCTTCTTCCCTCGCTCCATTTCTTTCACTTTGCGTTTTAGTCTTTGGTTTGGTTGGTTTGTGTCACTTTCCTGCTTGGGAGGACTAGGTCCTTTCCTAGCTTTTTTTGTTCAAGTGCTTGGAGACTTGGTTCATGTAGAACCTCTCTTTCATCTCATTCGTCTTGCTTTATTTATCTTCCCTTCCTTCTTCCTTGTGATTCGACCCCATCCTTCCATCGCACCCTGTCCTACCCAAGTTGTACTTGTTTTTTTGGTTTTTGATCATAGCATAATTCAGTAAAATCATGACTGTGCTTCTGGCAAATCCCATGGAGGGTATCTCCAATACATAGCCTAGAGTGAAAACCAATTTCTGAAGTCTTTTTATGTAGGTGGTCCTCATCAAAGTATTCAAACCTTTGAATCTGATGAATCTTTTTGAAACATTTTTATTTATCTCACACTTTTCATGTCATAGGAATACATTCTATAAATCGAATGTTTAGCTTATCTCTTTTTTTGATGTGAGATGTTATCAAGCTTACAAGCCAGGATCTTTACAAATCATCAAATCAAGATTTGCAACACAGCCAATAGCTAATCAAATCTCTACAGAGAATATACTGGAGGACTTCCCTTTGGTTTAGAAAGGAGGCTATTTTCTATTTTCTATTTCTATTTTCTATTTTTTTAGCAAATAGAAAATGCAATTGCTTTTGCTGTCCTCCTAAATTTGTGGCCCTCCTGCATTTTTGTTAGCTCACATCCATATCCACCCAACCACCACCAACCGGCACATATTCTTCACCTCCAAGGACGTCAATGGTCTCCGATCCCCAAATTCAGGACAGTCAAGGCAATCAAAACCCTCCGCATCCAAACCAAACTCCTCATGTCAATACCCAAACTCAAACAAACAAGAGCGGATCAAGTCAACCAAACAAGGGCGGATCGAAGAAAAATAAAAAAAACAATGATAAATCAATCGGGCAAAAAAACAGGGGGTCGGCCCCCAGGTTCTCTGGGATACAACATCGCAGAGTGTATGTTGTTAGTTGAGGCCGTCAAAACTGTTCTCCCCTTAGGAAATCAAGACTGGCTCTCAGTAGCCGATCAATACAACACCAAAGTTCTTCTTCTAAACCGACCCAAACAAGAGGCCGACAACTTGAAGCAAAAGTTCAAGGGCCTTGCTCAATCCCAAAAGCCCACTGGCAACGCAACCTGCCCAGAACATATTTGCGAGGCAAAACGTGTCAATGCTCTTATCAATGAGAAGGCTAACGAGTGTGCCTTGGGGAGTCTCTCCAGTGGAGATGAAAGGTACGTGATATGTTGCTCCGTTTGGTTCAAGATAACATTGACTTATTCCCTTTTTTGCTGGATTTGATCAGGAACGGTGTAGGCGCTGATGTTCTTTCAAGCGACAACAACGATGTTGACATGAATGAATCCCCCGGAACTGGCAAGCTTGAGTCCGGTCAACAGGAAGGTGTCAGTACGTTGTTGTCTGGATGGAGCCAAACCCAATCGGTAGACCAGGATTTGGGTGACTCTCCAAACCCAAGTCAAACACATTTGATGCACCGCCAAACTGCATATTGCAGCCCTCTGGTTGATTGGGCCCACTCACAGGCAAGCTCAGCCCGACCGTCCCCAATTACGAGTGTCAATCCAAGATCTAGAGGCCGACCTGGCAATCAGTTGGAGAGCAGGCTGAATAGCTTCCTCGATATGGATGCCCGGAAGGAGCAGGAGCACAAGCAATCCCTTGCGTCTTTCTATTCAGCCCAACTGATGGAGGCAAACGCAACCATACGAGATTTGCAATCTGAGCTTGCTCGAGTGCGCGGTGGGATCCAATCGGATGTTGTTCAGCTACAGGAGGAAAAGCACCGACTGGAACTTGAGAATACATCTTTGAAATCAAAGATTGAAGTTTTACAGCTCCGGGCCGAGATGCAACCAAACGCTGTGTGGGGTCAAATGCATCCGCAGATGTTCAATCAGGGATTTGCAATGCAATCGCTTCCGGTCTTTGGCACTCATTATCAGCAGCAACCACCGACTGGTTTGAACCCGCAACTCGCAAATACCTCTGGTTTGACCCAGCAACCACCGAGTCAGAGTGGTTTAAACCAGACGCATTCAGATCCGACTGGCATGAACCAGCCACAACCAACCAGTTTTAACCACCAGACCGCAACTCCGACCAGCTTAAATCAGCAACAACCTTCAATATTAACTCCGAACCAAGTCGGTTTTCATCCTCAGCAGCAACCCCAAGGTCAACACCACTTCGGCGGAATTAGTGATGCCTTGGAGGCTGATCCGACTTTCCCTCATGTGTGATCGAGTGTATTGCTCAAGTGATCCATCTGTCCACTGACTGCTCCATTGGTTTGCTTACTTTTTGATGTTAACTATTGTGTCTGTTATCCAAAAAAAGCTTGTATTTCACATTTCAAGAAGATTCTATTCTGCTATGAAAAAAAAATGTGCTATGAAATAAAACAAGAACAACTACATGAAAGAAACAAGAACGACTGCATTTCATTATGCATTATGTATGAGAATTGAAAAAAAATGAACGATATAAATTCTGCTATGAAATAAACAACAATGTGATATTTGAATCAAACGATGCGATGAGGACATCAAAAAACAAAACAAAAAACATGTGATGAACCATAAGAAGGAGAAAGAGCAAAAACAAGGCTGCTAGAGCCATCCTTGATAGTAACGACTGATGTGGCATCGTTTCTCGATGTCCTTGAATAGTAAGTTATGAAATCTGCAAGAGAGAACTTGGTGTTTTTCCCACACAGCATCATACACCGTTTCTGTCTGGTTAATGTGAACCATGCGGCAGCGGATCTGGTGTAAATAGCACACAGCTGGAAGAATTCACAATTGTTGAGACTGATCTGCTGCAGGCATTGGTAGCTTCAAGCGGGCAAGTGAGCCTTGCAAGGAGCGCATCCCCCACTCTGCTGCCTGTCGAGCCGATACTACCTCCTCGTTGAGTAACTTCATGCGAGAGAACAATCTGGGGGTTTCAGGTAGCCGATCTCCTCGCTTGATCGGTGCCAATATTTGTCTCTGAAGCCGTTGACTCTTGCGTGGAAAGGCTGTGTCGCTTATGATTCTATATCCCTCGGGGGTGTGATTGAGGAGTCGCTCGTAGAGAGGAACTGCTACAGCAGAATCATGCCAAGAACCCGGTGCGTTCAATATGGCATACATGATTGTACCATCAGGAGCAAAAGCAATAATGCAGCTACAGTAATGGGAGCAAGTCCACCCATTGAAGTACGCATTTTGAAGACTTTAGATCACAATCAGTACCACTTATTTTTCCTGTTTTATTTATTTATTATTTTTTTTAAAAAAACTACTCCCTTCCAGCCGGCGAGGTACATGTACCTCGTCGAGGTACATTTACCTCGCCGGCTGGAAGGAAACCCTTCCAGCCGTCGAGGTACAAGTGCCTCGCTGGCTGGAAGGAAACCCTTCCAGCCGGTCCGTCGCCGGCCCTTTAGAGGGCGGGTATCCGAGGATACCCGCTGCGGCCGACGGATACCCGCTAGCGGGTGCGGGTGCGTGAAAAGTTTTGGCTAAATAAAACATTGATTTCAGTAAAAGAAAAGACAAAAATAAAGAAAAGACAAGAATAGAATGTTACCTAAATAAAACAGGAAACAGGTTTTGGATGATAAGTGGTAAAGATGAGAAATGAAAGCTGTTGATGGCTAGGTTATTAGACTAAAAAGGATAATAGACAATTAGAATCTTAGTCGTTAACATGAGAACACAGAAGAGAAAAGATTAAGAACCTATGAAAGTTAGCCTAGATGAAGAAAACCTCGGCGAAGTTGGAAAGAATAGAGTATTGAGAATAGTTTAAAAGATAAGTTGAAGTTGATTGAGAAGTTAATGTTGTTGACTTGTTGAGGTAAAAGTCGAAGAGGTAAATAAAGATGTTCTTCGAATGGTCAACAGATGTATGATTAATCAACCGAGAAGTGAACAGAACCAGCAGAAAAAGATCGAAGACAAAGGTCAACAAGGAAAAGAGAAAAAGAACAAAATGGTCAACAAGGAAAAGAGAAAAAGAACAGGCTGTGTAGGATCACACTCCTATGACATCACAGAATGTATGCGACACATTATTGTGACCAGATTTCAACACACCCCCATGCACCAAGCCGCTAAGGTGGGGGCATACCCGCGCGAAGAACCTTGAGGACTTTGAAGATTGAACTACGACCAATTGACTTTGTAAGAAAATCCGCCAGCATCAAATGAGTACGTTTGAATGACAGGACGATATTTTTAGCGATTATTTCGGCACGAACAAAATGAAAACGAAGGTTCATGTGTTTTGTCTTGAACGCTGAGTGATTTGATTCGTTGTTAGCAAGCAATATTGCTCCTTGATTGTCTTCAAAAACTTCAAAAGGAAGGGAGATCGGAAGTTTAAGCGCAGAGTCGATTACCATCTTAAGCCAAAGTAATTCTTTCGTTACTTCAGTAATAGCAACATATTCAGCCTCTGTTGAAGAAAGAGAAATTGTTGATTGTTTCTTTGAACGCCAAGAGATCAAATTGTCATTCCATAAAATCAAGTAGCCGGTAGTAGATTTGGCAGTGATGTGACAACTAGCCCAGCTTGCATCAACAAAGGAAATAAAATTAACTTGATCGATAGGGGTTGAACGCAGCGTAATTCCGAAATCCTTCGTTCCTTTAAGGTAGCGTAGGGTGTGAATCGCCGCATTCCAATGTAAGATACCCGGATTTTTAAGGAATTGAGACAAGCAACCCACAGTGAAGGTAATATCCGGTCTAGTTGTCACACTTAGATAGTTAAGTGCCCCAACCAGACTACGATAGTTAACTTGTAGTTTGTTTAGTTCATCAATTTCAGCTTTAGAAGCTTTAACGAGATGACCGTTAGGCTTCATTGGCGTAGCAAGAGGAACTAGATCTTGGCAATTGAATTTTTGAAGTGTACTTTCAATGTAGTGTGTCTGAGTAAGATGAACACTAGAGTCAAGTTGAGTGACCTTCATGCCAAGCAAGTGTTTTGCGCTACCAAGATCTTTAATTTTAAAGCGTTTAGCGATCAAATTTTTAAAGATGTTGGGCTCTGGACTAAAAATCGCAATGTCGTCGACGTGAACATATAACCAGGTATTTGCCGACCAGAAGACACAGGGTTCTGCGTAGCTACGATTAAAACCAACAGAGAGAAGCCAAGACGAGAGTGTAAGATGCCATTCTTTTGGTGCCTGTTTTAAACCATAAAGTGCCTTCTTTAGCAATAAAACCTTATTAGAAGGAACATCGATGCCAGGCGGAGGATTAAGTGTTATTCGTTCTCGGATAGGTGCATTCAGGAAAGCGCATTTCACATCGATTTGGTGAAACTCGTATTTCCGTTGTAGAGCGAATGTGATGAGAAGACGAAGTGACACCAGTTTACCCGTCGGAGCGAACGTCATATTATAGTCTTTGCCAAAAACTTCCTTGAATCCTTGAACACACAACCGTGCCTTGTATTCTTGGGGTTGATTTGAGGATTCAGGTTTTATTTTGAAAACCCAAGTACAATTGATAGGTTTATCGATGGAAGTTTTCTCGATGACATCCCAGACTTCATAGTCAGCCATGTTGTTTCTTTCCTTCATTAGAGCAGCATTCCAGTTGTCTTTGTCGGAAAGAGCCATCACTTGATTATAGGTCAGAGTATCGTCTTCAGAGAGTGTTGAATTAAATGATTCAGCAGGTATACCTCTACGAGAATAGGACAAAATATTTTCAGGTGAAATATCTCCGATTATTTCATTCGATGGTGACAAAGACTCTTCTATTGCGCGTTCTTGATTAGGAAAGGGATGGAATTGATCATCATTCTCGTCGTTTTCCGATGGTATGATTTCAAATGGATTGAAATAGAAACTAGATTCATCCAAGGATTCATTGGATAACGATGGAAAAATGGTCTCGTCAAAAGTAACGTTACGCGTGGTGCAAAGGGTTTTTGATTCAATCCTTATGAGGCGATACGTAGAGAAGTCGTCACCATAACCGAGAAAGATTGCTTTTTCTGATCGAGGAAGTAATTTATTTGTACGTATTTCTTCAGGAATAAAAACATACGCCATACAACCAAAACTGCGAAGTTTTGAAAGATTAAAATCTTTCCCAAAGAAAGTCTTGTAGGGAATTTCAAAATTTCTGGTGCTTGACGGAAGGAGATTACATAAATCTGTTGCCGTAACAATCGCTTCAGCCCAATAGCGAGGAGAAAGATTTGCCTGAGCAAATAAACATCTAGCTTTGTCGAGGATAGCTCGATTCGATCTTTCAGCTATTCCGTTATTCTCGGGAGTGTAAGGTGGAGAAAATTGATGTGAAATTCCACGATTACGACAGAAATCTTCAAAGAACAGATTCTTGAATTCTCCTCCATTATCAGAGATAATCCGTTTAATTGTATGACCAGTCTGATTCTCAGCCCAGATAACAAATTCTTCAAACTTGTTGAGAGTTTCTGACTTGTGTTTCAGTAGTTTAGTTGTCTTGAAACCTGAGAATTGATCGACTATTGTTAAAAAGTATTGAGCTCCCCCGACTGAACAAGTTTGAAACGGACCGACTAGATCAAGATGAATAGCTTCAAGCACTTGAGAAGTCGGGGCAAATTTTCCTTTAAAAGGTAATTTAACCGCTTTACACATCTTACAAGTCGTACAGTCGACAGCCACTGTATCTTCAATAAGTCTTTTCAGATAAGAATGACTCGGATGACCCAGTCTAGCGTGCCAGTCGATTGAAGTGTTGAGTGACGTCGCAGAGTGATACAAAGAAAACGCTTCTTTCATTGCAAAGTCATTGGTCATTTCTAATAAATTATTACGAATAATACCCGATAAACTAAATTTGTTGTCAAATTGTATTTTGAAAGAGTCGTAAGACTTTGATAACAAAATGTTTGCCTCGAAAAGACGGTTAAGAGAAATAAGAGGTCTATGGAGATCGGGTGCAAAAAGAACGTTGTCGAGCTTGACAAGTGACCCAGAATCGTCCGAGATGAAGGCTTCCCCTGTCGCAATCGCAGAAACTTGTTGGTTGCTTCCGGTATGAATACTGATATTGACATCTCTAGTTTTCGAGAAAATCGATAGATCGTTCACCATATGGTGAGAAGCACCGGAATCCAGGATGGGAGCTTTCTTTTCTACCAAAGCATTAAGGTAGGCGGATACCTCGACAACTTCATCAACGTCTTTAACTTCTTCTCCGCTGTTGGCCAAAGTTGTATGAGCTTCTGGATCTTTAGGACGAAGGGCTTCGCGTTCTTCGATAGGTAATTTGAAACAGCGCCAAATTGGATGAAACGCTAAAGGGTTATGTTTCCCTGGAGAGCAGGGATGCGCTGGTGGTTGCTTCGGTTTATCTGATTTTTTAGATTTGGAATTGGCTTCAGATTTATAAGCAGAGGGACCGACAACTTGATTTTTAGCAGTAGATTCAGCCTTTGCGACACCTGATCCACGAGTATCTTTCATGTAGACGAGTTCTCTTAACTTCTTAAGAGTACGACTAGGAAAGAAGATGATAGCTTCATTCATAATTATATTGTCAACAACATTCCAGTAGTCTTTGGAAAGTTTCGCCAGGATAGAGATCGAAATTATATCGTCTGGAATACCGAGTTGAACTAGTGCACATTCTCTGATCATTTTTTGACAGTCGGCAAGATAACTGTTGAGATTGCCGTTAAATTCGTAACGCATCCATTTCAACCAGATCCGAGCTTTATTATTGACTGAAGAAGAAGCGTAACGCTCCACGATGGAAGCCCAGAGAAGAGCAGGGTTTTCTTCGTTATCGGGAGTGACGGTAGCGTCAAGAGCTTCCTCGCTAAGGTGGCTGATAATAGCGTTAAGAGTTTCATTTCTCTTCTTTTTAGCCGGAGTTACCTCGCCAGTACAAATCTCCCAGAGATCTTTACTGCGGAGGTAGGCTTTCATCCTTACTGACCACGACGGATAATTGAGATCGTCAAGTTTGGGAATCGACGATTTGGTCGATTTTTCCTCAATGTCCGACATTGTGAGTGATCGTTTCCTGTTTGAGCAGCACCGTACTGATAATGTGAAAAGTTTTGGCTAAATAAAACATTGATTTCAGTAAAAGAAAAGACAAAAATAAAGAAAAGACAAGAATAGAATGTTACCTAAATAAAACAGGAAACAGGTTTTGGATGATAAGTGGTAAAGATGAGAAATGAAAGCTGTTGATGGCTAGGTTATTAGACTAAAAAGGATAATAGACAATTAGAATCTTAGTCGTTAACATGAGAACACAGAAGAGAAAAGATTAAGAACCTATGAAAGTTAGCCTAGATGAAGAAAACCTCGGCGAAGTTGGAAAGAATAGAGTATTGAGAATAGTTTAAAAGATAAGTTGAAGTTGATTGAGAAGTTAATGTTGTTGACTTGTTGAGGTAAAAGTCGAAGAGGTAAATAAAGATGTTCTTCGAATGGTCAACAGATGTATGATTAATCAACCGAGAAGTGAACAGAACCAGCAGAAAAAGATCGAAGACAAAGGTCAACAAGGAAAAGAGAAAAAGAACAAAATGGTCAACAAGGAAAAGAGAAAAAGAACAAAATGGTCAACAAGGAAAAGAGAAAAAGAACAGGCTGTGTAGGATCACACTCCTATGACATCACAGAATGTATGCGACACATTATTGTGACCAGATTTCAACAGTGCGGATGCGGATGTGCAATTTCGCTGAAATTGCCATCGGATATCCGCATCCGAACGGGTATCCGGATGCGGACCGACCATCTCTAGTAGAGAGGAACTGCTACAGCAGAATCATGCCATGGACCCGGTGCGTTCAATATGGCATACATGATTGTACCATCAGGAGCAAAAGCAATAATGCAGCTACAGTAATGGGAGCAAGTCCACCCATTGAAGTACGCATTTTGAAGACTTTATATCACAATCAGTATCACTTATTTTTCCTGTTTTATTTATTTATTATTTTTTTAAAAAAACTACTTACTCATCATCCTCAGCCACACAAATGGGCAAGTTCAGACCATCCAAGAAACCAAATCAATTTTCGAGAAGTGGGAATTTCTTTTTGATTTTCGTTGCATAAGGCTGAATTCTTTCTTTGGTGGAGGGCCAGATAATGCGAGCTTGAGGGTGGTTCTTGAGTACTTGACGAAGGCAATCAAGTCCCCAATCCAGATAGCGAGAACACACCGCCGGAGTGATTCCAAATATTTACTGAAGGGTGTATGCTGCCATTGTCGAGCATAACCAGTGTAACACTAATCAAGACAACCAGCTGCATCAAGAGACCGACGGCCAACTTGTGGCTCTCCGTTGAGGTTGACATTGTTTTGGGGAAGTGTGACAGAGTTCCACAACAGCTCAAACCTAGATAAGATATCTTCAAAAGTTGTTACATCCACCCCCATTGTTGTCACGTAAGCTCAATCATTCTGTGCTTTCATCATTGTTGTCCAAGCAGAGTTTGTAGAGGTAGGTAGATCAGATTGAGTGAGGTAAGTCCGGAGTTGTCGAAATTTCCCTGGAGCACCTTGAAGACCCATGCCGTACATGACCATGGTTGAGTCCTCTTCTTCACGTTGTCTTTTGCTGGCATGTAGTTGTAGATTGCTTTGATATGTTCTCCTCCTGCGCTGGTCCCGTCGGTGGAGGTCCTCTGTGGCTTCTGGATTGGACTCAGGGTTATCCATGTGGTCCTGTGGTGGGGATGTCTGGTGATGTACGGTAGAGAGGAGCTGGTGTTCTAAAATATAGAAGAACCTTGGCGGAAGAACAAATTTTAGAAAGATTGACAAATTTTCTATTTTCATTTTCTATTTGCTAAAAAAATAGAAAATAGAAAATAGCCTCCTTTCTAAACGGAAGGGAAGTCCTCCACTGGATTCATTTTTTAAAAAAACATGGGCTTGTTCTCAATTTCATTGTGGTTCTCCCTTTGAAGAAAGAAGTTTTAAGCCATTCTATCCACAAAGATTATAGCAAGTTGATGTGGAAGAATCCCATTAAAACTGTGAATGAAGCTTATTTTCACACATGAATTTTGGAGGCCAAGTTACTTCATAAGTATCCAAGAAGAACCCAGAAATGAAGGAGTAGTCTGATTTGAGCTGTGAAAACCCTCTTAAGAGATCAGTGGATACAGAGACCCAGCCAGAGCCACACAGGAGATTATTGAGTTGTGGGTTTTCCCTCAATCCAGCTCTCATAGTTTGATGACGTCTAATTGGCTCTTGGCTCTGATTTTCAGAACTTGGGAAATGCGAAGAAGAAACGTAGACCAAACTACAGCAAACAATCTGTACTATGAAGACAGTGTACGCATACAACATGCAAGCTTCTCCGCAAAAGAGTACAGCATTGAAAATGTTGATAAGTAATTAATGAAAGCAGCTGCTTCGTTTGGTTGAGGGATTTCAGCGCCATCAAGCTATCAACTCCGATGGTTTGCTATGTTGGCCCAACAAGACCAAAGCAGAAGTTGAGGAAGCACCCATATTGGCATAGTTCTGGCTGGTCACTAGTTCAAGGAGCTGTTGACCCGAAGCAGCCGGGATCCATCGGACTCGGTTGGTGTGGTTGCAGCCAAACAACAAGCTAGCTGGTTATTTTTTCATTCAGTGCTCGTGAATCCTGCAGATTAAATTACGTAAGAGGGTGGCAGAAACTGCGGTGAAAACCGAGGTACATAAGCCCACAGCTCGAATCGGAGAGCAAGCGCATACACTCCACAGCTTTCGACTTGCTACTTGAATACCGAGGACCAGCAAGCCATCGACCAAACACAACAACAACAAACCCCACTTCAGAGAACCAAAGAAAGCCTCTCCAAGGAAACTGCCTCAAGACTGCCTTGTACGCCCCATCTTAAATACCTCATACCAATCCAAAGTGAACCGTGGCATCCACAAAACTGACTGGCAGACCTTCCAATCAGCTCCAGACTCAACATAACTAAACCCACCATGTCACATCTCGATCCATTGACAACTGAGCCCCTGCTATTGTCATCAGCATCCGCATCATCATCACCACAAGCAACACCAGTCTCAAAGTCCAACTCATTAGTTCAAACTACCCTCACAATATCTGGTCAGTCAGTCTTTCATAAAATCAACACAAACACCCTTCTCTTTCAAGATTATTGATTGCCTTCTGAATTTTTTCAGGTATGACATGCGGCTCATGCGTATCAGCAATCGAGACTAATTTGAAGAAACTACCGGGGGTTGAGTCGGTCTCAGTAGCACTTCTCACCGAACAAGCAATTATCATTCACGATGAAATAGAAGCCTCAGTTTACTCGATTATCGACCAGATTGATCTTTCCGGTTTTGATGCAACTCTAATCAATAGTCAGCCCTTCGTGGACCCCAAGAAGGAAATATCGATCAAGATAGATACCAACAACATTGACTCATCATCACCCAAACTGCTTGAAATCTCCTTCAAAGTCGATGGCATGACCTGCGCCTCTTGCTCATCTTCCATCGAAACCCAAATCAAGAAACTCAAAGGCATCCATCTCGTCTCTGTGGCACTTATGGCCGGTCGCTGTAAAATCAGATGCGATGCGAGTGCTTGGACCGCCGATGCTCTTTGCTCTGAAATTGAGGACCTCGGTTTCGATGCGCAAGTTCTCTCAGTCATTGACCTGAATCCCACCCTTTCTTCACTCTCCAAATCCCCTCGACCCTCTTTAATCTCTGAGAATCGTTCTCAGCTCACTATCATGGGAATCAAGAGCATTGAAGGTGCTAAGGGTCAGTAGTATTCGACATAAGCTTGGATGCAAAAAAACTTAGAGTGATTGAATGACTGATTGTAATGTTCGTATTATTCTTCATTCCTCGCCCACACAGATTTGGAAGATTCAGTCAACAAGATGCACGGTGTTCTATCCTGCCAAGTCAAGCCTAACAATCAAAGTTACACAATGCTCATTAATCACATTCGCTCAATCCTTCCTCTTCGAGTAGTCGTAGATCATATCTCTTCACTTGGTTACGATCCTGTGATTGGCGATTCCGCCTCGAATTCGATCCAACTTCAATCTCTTGCACGGACCAAGGAAGTCGCAAGCTGGCGGAGCGCATGTCGCTCGGCTGCATTCTTTGCTGTGCCTGTCTTCTTCTTGCAGATGATCGTCCCAATGTTTTCGAAAACGAACCTGCTCCGAAGGTTCTGTGATTCTTCAATCATTTTCCCTGGCTGGTATGTCGGCGACTTCCTGTGTCTTTTCTTAGCTCTCCCCGTCCAATTCGGAATTGGACGTCGGTTCTATCGCTCGGCATGGAAATCATTACGTCATGGTACTGCAACGATGGATGTCTTGGTCGTCATCGGTACCAGTTCTGCATTCGTCTTCTCACTTCTCTCGGTTTTGGTAGCACCTTACTTGATTGCCAGTGGTAGCGTTCCCAGTACATATCACCCATCGATATTTTTTGACACCTGTGCCATGTTGATCACCTTCGTCAGTCTCGGTCGATACCTTGAAAATCTTGCCAAGGGGAAAACCTCTGCTGCACTCTCAAAGTTGATTTCTCTCTGTCCACCCTCTGCCACTCTTTACCTCGACCCTCCTCATTGTACGCAAGAACGGCAACTACCTACTGAATTGATTGAAGTCGGCGACATTCTGAAAATCGTTCCTGGGGACAAGATACCCGCTGACGGCACTGTTGTTAGTGGAGAGAGTTCAATTGATGAGAGTATGGTCACCGGTGAGGCCATGCCTGTGTTCAAGAGCGTGGGTGATCAAGTTATTGGGGGAACCGTCAATGGCTTTGGGACTTTCAACATGCTTGTTTCTCGGGCTGGGTCCGATACGGCCCTGAGTCAAATCGTCAAACTGGTCGAAGAAGCGCAAACATCCAAGGCCCCAATCCAAGCTTTTGCAGACACCGTCGCTGGATATTTCGTTCCCACTGTCCTTGCGCTTGGTTTGCTGACGTTCGTGGGTTGGATGGTGATTTCTCACACCAGTTTAATCAACTACATTCCCCCTTTAAGGCGTCTATTTATCACGAGTGCCACCCAAGATGGAAACGGTGGAGGCAAGTTCATGACATGTTTGAAATTATGTATCTCGGTCATTGTCGTTGCCTGTCCCTGCGCCTTAGGTCTCTCAACCCCCACAGCGGTCATGGTAGGCACTGGGATCGGCGCTCAGAATGGAATCTTAATCAAGGGTGCTGGCCCTCTAGAAGCCGCCAATACAATCGACAAAATCATCCTGGACAAGACTGGAACGTTGACGACGGCTCAGTTAGAAGTCGTTCGGATCACATGGGCCCCTCATCTGAACGGATCGGGTCATGAAAATGAGAAGGCCAAGAAGCAAGTCCTGATGGCTTTGACGGCAACCGAGTCGAAAAGTGAACACCCCCTGGCCAAGGCAGTCGCCAAGTTTGGATTCAAATCTTTGGGATGGCTCGCAGTGCCTTCGACAGTGCAAGTCACTGGCTTTGAAAGTCTTACGGGTGCAGGTGTTCGATGCGCAGTGAAATTGCCGAGTGGTACAGGAGAAGCTACTCATGAGCTTGCAGTCGGTAACTACAAGTTCATGAGTGGCGGTCAGGGCACTCCGGAAATGGCGAACGAGACTTCTGAGAGCAATCCATCAAAGCTGCTGGACCCCTCGATGAAGAAGATGGAAATCGAACACGAAGATCAAGGCCATACGTGCATCTTTGTCGAGTTTGATGGCCAACTGGCATGCATGATCGCATTGGCCGATCTGCTGAAGCCGGAAGCGCTCCAAGCCGTGGAAGCCTTCCGGAAGATGGGGATGAGTGTCATCATGGTCACGGGAGACCATCGCCGGACGGCGCTTGCGATAGCCAACCAGGTGGGCATTTCGCCACAGGACGTCTACGCCTCCGTCTCACCCGAGGGCAAAAGGTTGATTGTCGAACGGATGAAAGAGGAACATATGGATGCCTCTTCCAGCAGAGCTCGCCAATCTAATTCTAAGGCTAAACGCCCTTGTCGAGTCGCTATGGTTGGTGATGGGATCAACGATTCGCCGGCCTTGGCTTCTGCTGACTTGGGTATCGCCATGTGTTCCGGTACTGATATCGCAATGGAAGCTGCTGACATCATCCTCATGAAATCTAACTTGTTGGATGTCGTCTCAGCTATCGATCTATCCAGAAGAGTTTTCAGACAGATCAGACTAAAGTTAGTTGACCTATGTTTGATTGATTCATGATTGTCTTAAAATGTGGTCTGACCTTTTTTTTTGAACAGTTTCCTATGGGCAAGTGTCTATAATCTGATTGGGATCCCATTAGCGATGGGATTCTTCCTACCATGGGGAATTCATTTACACCCTATGATGGCCGGTGCCGCGATGGCATTTTCCTCAGTGTCGGTTGTATGTTCGTCGTTGACGCTGCGATTCTGGACCAAGCCGAAGATTGCCCTACGGCCCGATGAGAAATACGTCCGGGATGGTCCCTTGATCGAGCTTCGTGCCGCCGTCGGTCGCCAGGTCTCTGCGCTCGTCCACCGCAACCCATTCAAGTCCTTCGGCCCAATCTCTCTCCGTCCAATCCGTGCTCTTCTTGCTCGCTCTTCTCGGCACAATCGCTCAAACTCTTCCACTTACTATACACCCGTCTTGAATGCCGATCTTGAACACGAAGAACTCCTCCCCATGACTGCCGTCTGAGGCAGCCCTCGGTCTCTAAAGCATCTTCTTTTCCTCTGCTATCTCTCTTTATCTTCTTCCCATCGTCCAGCATTTGTTTAATAAGCACAAATTTCCATCTATCCTTCCCTCTTTTATCTTTCTGTTTCTTCGTCGTCGTCATTGAATATGAAGAAAAGACAATCTCTTGAAAGACGAACACGAGAGAGAGAAACCCCAATTCCTCACAACAATCAACCAATATCTTCAAGATATATATATATATATATATATTAACCTCTTGTATAGGTCTACTTTTCTCTTTGTGGCAAGACCAATTTCAGACCGGTTTTTGACGGTTCTCGTATGATCAAGCGTTATCTAGCCTTTTTTTTGTTCTAGATATATCTTGTTATCAAATCTTTTCACATGCATATATATATATATACATGAATACATAACTGTAGATAGACAAAAAAGCTTCCTCTCCTCCAATTACTGATGGTTGTAACATTGATTTTTGCATAGATTAAAACTGATACACTCTATGATGCACATGCTTATTATTTTTTTACTTGTAACATTGTTGTCCCATCATCATCTCATTCAATGTTGTCTTTCATCCACTCTCTTTCATCCTTTTGTGTATCACAAACTTTGGACAGACAGACCTTTTTTTGCCTTTTGTTTTTTTTCCTGTGAATGATTATGTTAATGCCAATTATTATTTATTTTTAACCAGGACAATCCAACCATCACTAGAATAGTAGATTAACAGTGAAAGTAGAGGGTGGGGGTGTACGAGTAGTATAAAACCATGTTTATGTATCACTTAAAGCCATAACTATGGGTTTAAGTATGGCTTAACCTGTGCATGTCCAATTATATGTATGTGGAAATGAAAAAAAAATTGAACCACTCACTCAAAACCTTAGTGATTACAATTTTGAACTCTACACATCTGTAGAAGTTCAAAATTGTAATAAAATTAAGTATCAGGGCATAGGCCCCGCGTGTCCAATTTGGATTTTGCGGGCAGGGCATGGTCGGTCTATGCTGTACGCAACTGTACCCGCCAACGGGTCCTGGGTACTGCTCAAGGGGTACCGCAAGGCCATCTTTAAGGCTTCCCTTTGTGTAGAAATCTGAGGAGTAATAGACAAGAATAGAGTAATGATACTCAAAGAGAGGTGTGGCAATGAGGTCTGAGATAATATCACATAGATGAAGAGTTTTGGTAGTAATGGTAGACTGGCTCCTGTTTATTACTGGTAGGTATGGTGTTACACCATACCTACCAGTAATAAACAGGGTGTATAATAACTAATAATTTCTAACAGACTGACCAAGCTGCTAGCTGACAAGTAGATGAGTTGATTAGGGGAAACAGAAGTGGGCCAGAGGAGAGCCTCTTGTATAGACATTGTGAAGAAGAGCTGAGACACTCCGCCAAAGATGGAGTGTAACAGAGGTAGTGGCTGGGAATGGCAAGAGCTGAGACGTGAGGAACCAAGGGTGTTATTGGTAACCTGGCTCTCTTGAGCAGAGGATGGGCCTTTATTTCCATGTTTCATGTTAGCTGTGATTCTTGTCTAATGAGTCCTCCAGATGATCTGGTAGAGGTCCTAATGCATCTGCATGTCAGGCTATGTAGAAAGAAAATGTTCTGATACGTAAAAGGCCATGTAACTAAAGTTGATATGTAACTGCTTACTTTTTAGATATTTGCTTGCTGCTTACTATTTAGACATATTGTCTTTGGAAAAAAGCTTAGACAGATTTCCAAGTTTGCTGTTCCAAAATCATGGTGTTCTATGATTTTGAGTTCAGTTTTTTTTTTCTTTTTTTTCTATTCCTTTTGAAATAATGTCAACAACCACAATGCTTTTGAAGTTTTCTGAAAAAAGCCCCATAACACTGTGCTTTGTTGGTATTGGTGGCCTGTAGGCTCCAGCCTGCCAACAAACAACCACCCAAAACACCAGGAAGCAACAAGCTTTACAAGATTATATTGGCCTCCACGGCGGGAGTGGTAGAAAGCAGCAGAGCTGTCCATGCCAGTGGAGGCCTATACATAAAATCAAAACTACCATGTGGTGAGTTTTCAGAATTGGGCTGTAAACTAACTTTTTTTGTGTTTTTCCCCTCTCGGAACTTCCCCCATTTCACATCTATGTGATTTTCCTTCCAGGGATGGTGTGGTGAGACCCAATCACATACATATCACTTTAAAAGTAGAAAACTAATTTTACATAAATATTGATTACACACCAAATATAGAAGATTTTACAACATAAGATAATCTACATAATTGTTTTCTTCTTAATTGTATCACAAATAGTCATAAAATATTCAATTTCATACATATAATAAATATGTTTATGTAACATACAGAAATGGCTAAGAAAATACCAATAACCGTCTTAGAACAAAGAAACAAGATATTTATCAAAGAGTACTTCACAGACTAGTCCTAGAAGACTAACTCTCATACTAGCTAGTCTCATAAATATCAATCTCATAACAATTAGTCTAAGAATAGAATTTCTGCATAAGATTACAATTTGAAGTATTAAACAGGCACTCAGAGATTGGTTGATATCAGATTAGAAAACTCTCAGAGCAGTAAATCCATTCTGGAAGTACACTTCTCAGATGTACTGTTGTTCAGGCAAAACCCTCATGTATTGAAGAACCATTTGCCTATAAATAGAGGCTCTTCTGGCCCATGTTTTTCTTCCCTCCTCATGCTAGCTTCAGTAGAGATATTACTTAGCTTTCATCAAAACTTACCAGAAGATAATGAAGAAACAAAGACTCACATATATTAGAGCCTAGATAATTCAGAGAGTCCAGAAACAACAGAGAACTAGAAAATACATATAACAGATTAAACAAAGTGATGAAAAACAGGAATTATTACTGAAACCAAAACCAGAACTAAAAACAATATGAGTTAGACAAGAAACAATATCATATAAGAAATAAGAGATGAAAACAGCATACCACGAGAAGAATTAATCTTTAGCGGAAGTAGAACAGAAAGGCTGAGGTAGATGAGATCAAATAAAGACAGATAGTAAGAGCTGAAAAAAGTAGAAAAAAAGGCAACAAAAGAATGTGAGTTATTGATGACAAATATCAATAGATCAAAATCAATGAAGGTTCTTGATGTCGGTGAAGTTGATTTTCTCACCAAATTGGCAAAAGACCCGATAGAAAGTTGAGTGAGTATGTCGGAGCGATGAGGAGTGTTGAGGTTTGAAAAGAATAAAGATCGAGATGTCGACGAGCTCGATAGGATTGATCGATGAGGGAGAATAGAGAAAGAAGATAGAGAGCGATGGCGAAGATGATACGGATACGGAAGGGGAAGTTGATGATAGAGTTTTGAAGAGAAATGGTGAGAGAGTTTGACGAAGTTGAGCGCTTAGTCGATTTGAGAAGGGATCGATGGATTGAAGTTGATCCGAGAGCTGCTGGGGGAAAAATTGAGGTGTCAAAGAGAGAGGTATTTATGCGTTTTAGGATTGAGGGTAGACTTGTGGTTCATGTCGTTGGATCCTTGAGGGAGCGAACAAGTTGTGGTTTGGTTTGACGACTGACCGACGTGATGTTTTGAGAAGAAGTAGGAAGAAGGAAGAATTTTGAGAGAGAGGAAATGAGAAGGGGGAAGGATCGAGAGAAGGAGAGATAGAGAGAGAGCGGAGAGCGGGAAAAGAGAGAGCGGAGAGCGGGAGCAAGGAGCGGAGAGCGGGAGCGAGGAGCGGAAAAGAAGAGCAGAGAGGGATAAGCGGAGAGAATTCCAACACAAAGATCCTTCCAAGAACACTGTTTCATCAGAAACCCTTTCATCCTCTTTGTCATCCATCACAGAACCTTGTTAAAAGGTAATAAAATAGTATCAACACTAAGATAAATTTAGAAATAAGTCACACTCTTATTTTTATTAGTGTAACTTTCCCGCAAGCTAGCCAGCAGGGCAGTCTCACCCACACAGTACAGGTACTAATTCTACTATTTTATAGTCTTATTAGCTATTTTATCCCCTCCAATCTCTTTACTCACTTGCTGAGCATTTCCACAATGGGCAGGCCTGCTTCTTGTCCATATTTCCCTGTGTTCAGTTTCTTTTTTATGTTCTCAAGTAATTTACAGCTGTTTTTTCAAAAGGTTGACTTTTCAACTCAAGTTGGCTTCTTTTGGTGTGCCCAAGTCAAGTCAACCCCACATTTGAGCTCAAAACAAGTTCATTAAACCTTGATTTTATAAGATCTGCATAAAACATGGTTGAGATGTGCAATTTCTGAGTTTTTTCCTGGATCAATAGGTTCATCTAGCCCTTCAAGAATTCTGGGCTAACAATCCTCAAAGTTTTGAGGGAGCATCATGATTGCAAATCTTATGAGTCCAGACTTCTCTCTGTCATCTTTGCTCTTTCATCTTCCAAACTCATATTGGAAATATGGCCCCATGTATTCCTGACTTGAAGAATTGTATGGATATATTATTAAATCAAATCATCCACAATTCTACTCAATGGTTTGATAAACCCAAGTTCCACATGTTACTTCATCTTTGGCCAGATTCTGTTCTTTGATTTGGCCCAGCTTGTCTTTTTGCCCCAGAAAACTTTGAGAGTTACTATAGTATTCTTGGGAATGCTTCAATCTACTCCCACTGTCCTAGTCCTGGCCAAAATATAGCTGTTACATTCATTAATTATTGCTCTTTCTGTCAAATTTTTCTGGTGGTTACTTCTTCAACAAGAAACAAGGGAGATTTTTCCAATCTTCAAAACAAGTCACCAATACTTTTGTCTGTAATTCCTTAATTTAGCAAACCCTTGGCTGAATATGAGAGCATCTGAAATGCTGATTGTAGACACTATAGGATGTCCTCCAGCTTTGCTAACTGGAAAACCAAATCTATGGCTCATTGCAGCCCATTTTGAATCTCCCATTCATCCCCAAAAAAAGTTCAATGTCAAACACAATTGTTAGTTACCACTTGCTGTGGGCTTCTATATACTGAGGGAACAGAATGAATCATCATAAGTCATGGTGAAAGGGATCAAGGAGAAAAAAGTCTTTGTAGAATTGAATCCAACACAAAAAAAATTCTTTTGAAAAGAGAAATGAAAGAGGATAGAATCTGAATTGGGTGGCTAAGACAGCTCAAAAAACAAAGAAGTGAGGGGTTAAAAAACAAAAGACGACTTTACAAAGATGAAACACAGATGTGTACATATGTGAGTAAAATGAAGATCATCAACATCAAAAGAAGTGATTATGCATACTGAGATGTGGGATCAAAGTCCGGTAAGTATTCACAGCTGAAAGGGATTTTGTGTGATCATGAAGTTGAGTAGAAAAAGAAATAACAGCACTAATGAACAAACGGGTTACAAATCCAGCTATTTGAGTGAGCAAGAGAGATTGATAGTGATCCAAGGTGAGACAATTAAGGTTCTGGGGAAGGAAATCTTTGGATGTGGGGTTGGTTTGAAAAAGATTACTTTGATTTAGGCTTGTTCCATCTAGATCAACAAAACGGGACAAAACAAAGATGTTAAGTGATCTCGATTTTGAACTGGATAGTTGGTAGTAGAATGGAATACGTAGAAAGGATTGAAAGACTCACGAGAGGTATTTCATGTCTCCTAATCTCCTAGGTTTGATCAAATGACGGATGCTCAACACGACACCAATCAGGAAGCAGAACGACCCGACAACCAAGTATGCAACCCCTAAGAAGGGATTCCTTCCTCCAATAAAGCTGACGGTGGAAAATACAATCGATTTCGTCCCTCCATACGGCCGGACTGGGTAATCTGTTGACAGACACCATGGAAAAATGGTCAACTCAGACTGCTGATAGCTTCCAAAAGGAGAGAAAACGAGAAACTGACTCATGTAGATATCCATGACATAACTACCCGCCAGCATGCGGTTAGTGTCTTGTCTAGACAAGAAAGGGGAAGAAAATAGTGTCAGCTTTTCCGCGAGGCTTCGCCAATCATACTCATCCGCAGGGCTAGCGAACCTGAAGTACAACTTTCGGAAGGTTGGAAGACCAGCGGTGCGCATCCAAACCTGAAAATGTTCATCGCGACTCAAGTCAGGTATCGGGTTTTGATCAGTATAACCATTAGGATAGCGATTAGCCCAGAAAGGTGGAGGGGCGACTTGAGAGTTAGTGTATGGCGTGTGTTTGTATTTTTCAGCTTCTCCGCTCCAAGCAATCCCCTTTTCAGACATCTGATAAATCATACTATTTGAGTTTGAGTTGGGAGGGTTGAGGAGGATCGGAGAGAGGAAAGTATCGTTGAAGAGACTGTTGGCGATCAGACCACAGGGGTAAATTGGCATACTAGGGTTCGAAGGAGATCGAGCAACCGGTTTACATTGGTCATCTCGGTCGAGTGTCTCAATCGGGACTATCTTGCCTTTGAGTTGGTCGATTGATAAGGATTTCACATATCGACGATGGTTTTGATAGTAATTTGTAAGCTTGTAGTACATGAACACGGGTGGGTCGAGAGGAGTTGGTAGTTGAAAGGTCAGTCGACAAAGTGAACGCAAAGAGACGTTTTGATTTGCCCTGTTTAGTTGAAAATGGTAGCATTATTATCAGTCAAGAGACTACTTATTTTGATTTATCAGATCAAATAACTCACTGATTGTTGATGAAAAGCCATGATGGCGGCGAGGGAACCGGGGCATCAGAATTCGAGAAATGATAGCCATATTTGTCTGAGGGGAGATTTTGGAATCCATTGTTTGTGTCTCCACCAGCTGGAACTTGAGGTGCATCGACATCACAATTGGTATAGTCAATCGTAAATTCATTGACCTGATCAGAAGAACAGAAGGTTGAGTTTTAAAATAGAATGATTAGGTCAGAACTCGTTGTAGATAAACGCGGATCTTTTAAGAGAGCATGAATGTAGACCGACCTTAGAGCTACCCCACAAGAGTATCCCGCCGATGGGAGCAAAAGTGATTCCAATCAAGAAGAAGATCGGTAGGACGGTTTTGGGGGTTAAGATTGGTTGCCAAGCCTTGAGACGTTGTTGTTTGAATGCGGTATCTGTGATGTTTGAATTTGCAAGGTATGAAAGTCAAAAGTCGTACTTGAATTACATCGGCACAAGATGTTAACGGAGGCCACTCAACTTGCCGGTCTTCTTGACCATTTCTGTTTATCCTCAGCCGTTGTGTTATGATTTGGGTCCGAGTTTTGGTTTGATTTTCGATTGAAAATCGCCATGGGATAGATTTAACTTGAGTCTTGTCTTGTAGAGTTCTTGCGTTCTTGGATTGTTTGAGTTGGTTGAGTTGGTTGAGTTGGTAGAGATGAAGATTCGTTTATGGTTTTGGTTTGCAGGGGAGGTATTAAATTCCGCCCGAAAGTCAAAAACCGCAGGGGACAAAAAGGCGAAAAACCTCAAACAGCCAAGGGCAAAACTGCAGCGTCGCGCGGGTCGGAGGACAAAATAATTACGAAAACAGTTTCTGCCATCAACCATTTCTGCCAATCTTCAGTTAACTCCATGCCCAAACACACCCAGTAACCCACTGATAACATTGTATCCACCACAGCCCACCACTCAACAACAAAGCAGGTGTATCGAAAAGTCAAGCAGTTTGCAGGTCTTCTTACTTTGAGGAAATAACCCTCACCTTATATCCAATCTCATCAATTGCATTCGACACCCCAACCATCAACTAACTGAGCTCAAGCCTGCCCTGGTGGGAGGCTCTCTGTGAACACCGGCGCCTCTCGCAGTCAAGATTTAATTAAGATCAATCACATGACATTCTTCAACTGGATACCAATGAGTCTCTTTGAAAAATAAATATTAAATAAAACATGGACCCGAGGTTATCTGGGGTCTCATGTTTGATATCTAGGCAAAATTTTGTAAAACGGTGCGATCTGTTCAGTTTTTTCTTGTGCTGGAAATGGAGCACATCAACTATCTAATAATTAATTGTCTTTTTGAGTCTGTAGCAGAATGAAGTACATGGGCGAACTGGACGGCAGTCCAGTGGCGGGTGAATGAAGAAAAAAAGGAAAGAGAAGAAAAATGCCTGGTCTAGAAAAAGTATCCAATCTAACAACACAGGGTAACTCAACAATATGGGTACATGATGGCAACAATGTTTGGTGTATATATTTTGATAACAATGGGGGAAATGTTCACATTCTGGTTTCAACATCTCCAGTCTCGAATAAATACGCTGGCCAGGATGATGGCCAATTCAGGCTGTCAAACAAAGGTTGGGATCAGTACTTTTTGTTTTTTTCGATTTGCTTCAGATTGGTGGCGGGCACGTACCAGAGGGGCGCCATCCACAGTTGAAAGAGTAAATGTCCCGGTGTCTCTGTTAGGGTCTAACCAGTTATCTCGACGTTTTTGATCTAATAAAAAAATCAAGTCTTAGATATGATATTGTTCTATTTGGGCCTGAAATTCGGTCAGGAAGTGGGAGAGAGTGATCAGACTTACTTCTGAGACGGGCTACCAGGACGTCAGGCTGGCCTCTGGCCACTCTAAAAACTTCACCTCCTTTGTTGGATCTATTTTTTTTGAACTTGAAGTATCGGCGGGAACTGGAGGCATTGTCATATAAGTTGAAGCGCCAGACATCATCCCCAAAGCCTCTTGCGTCAAACGAAAACGATCGTTTAGGTAAGTTGTCTCTCGAGTAGGGAATTTCATTCTGGATGAACACCGTGTTGACCTGGCATTCATCATTGTTCTGTGGGGCGTGGTAAGAGAGGGCTTAATTAGAATCAGTCAAGCAGACATCCTCTCGGTAGTAAAAAAACCTTACGGAATACAGCGAGAAGAGCTTTTTGAGATCTCCGTCCTGGAGTAAAGTGGCGCTCTTGACAGATGACACACCGATCCGGGTCTTGGTGTAACGGAAAGCGAGTTTTCCGTTCGCACTAAAAATGTCCAGATAGCCGGTATTTCCCGTTTTGTCTTTCAGTATGTAATCGTTAGGAAGGTTTTGTGCATGCATGGCCAAAGGAAAGGCCACTAGTAAGGTTATGAAAGCGAGTGCGCTTGGGAATTGCATTGTTCGGTGTTGAGGATGTGAAGATAAAGATTGGCTGACTCTAAGCTATTGAAGCGGGTGAGGCAAGAGGTGTGGGATGGGATGGCTGAAGTAGACTGGTAAGCCTAGTTGGGTATTTGAGAGTGCTGAAAGGCTATGAAGTAGGTAGAGGAGAATGGCTAGGTAGGGAGTTGGTGATTGGCTCAGACAGTGGGAGAGGTCGAGCTTTTTGTACCCGGCACCACACGATAAGAGCACGCAGAAGTAGGAGAGAACGAAGGCGGTCAGATCAAGATTCATCTCAATAACAAGCCACCGCGGGTTGGGCTAACGATACCATTGGCTCTTCCAGCATGTTACAAACACTTGCCTGCAAGGAAAAAAATCCTTGCAACAGTCCCCTTTCCCTGTCGGAGGTAGATCGTACCCTCCCAGATGTAATAGAGGGTTTCTTAGTCTACTTTGACCATTGTGGATCAGTATCCACGCCAGTTGGTGGTCGAACTTAACATAGACCCGCAGGGTTTCTTGCTCTGTCTCACTGGGATTTATTGTGAGGCGTGAAGCTTCCCTTGTCGGCTGCCGAGAATACTGGGTGTTACATTTGGTTGGCGGGGTTCTCGGGCAAGCCTCTCTCGAACCAAATTTAACGTAGCCTTTCAAGTGAAGGGTGGCCCTCAGGGTCTCTCCTCCATTCTGTCGGCACATTCGGACATGCGTCTCAACACTTGCAACGAACGCCGCTCACAACAGGGAGTTGGTGACTTGTTAAGTTTGAGGCGAACCGCGGCCCCGCAGAGTGGATGTGGATGTTTTGTCCATTCGAAGCATACAGCAGTTCCCAGAAAGCTTGCTTTCTGGGACCGGTCAAATTCACAAAAAATAAAAAAAATAGAAATCTTTTTTTACGCCTCTGGGTCCTGTATTTCTCCCTGTATGGCCACAGTCCTTCATGCGATAGGGCCCAACTCGCTCATTTTTGGAGTTGAGCATTTGGGAGTAGGACCATTGGAATCCTCTCAAATTTTTGAGTCAGATCGGCTCATCAGATGGGCTCTGCCGGCCCCCACCCAGCACCTGACTGGTTGCCTGAGCCCCAACGAGGCCTCGGCAGCATAATCGGAACCTGTACAGTGATGTGTACAGGTTGCGAGGCGCAAAAAAAGTTTTTTTATTTTTTTATTTTTTGAGATTTCGACCGGTCCCAGAAAGCAAGCTTTCTGGGAACTGCTGTACGTCGTCAGTTGGCGGCCGAAGATAAGAAACACTTTATATGAGAGCCTCGTAGGCACTGTCCAAATCCGGCTGGCGACGTTTTCTGGCAAACCTCCCTGCGAGACAGAGAGGCTAACCTGAAAGATTAGTAGAAGCCTATCCGAACTGTGAATGACTGCCTAATTCTCCAATTTGCTGGTATCTGAATTGAAAAAAAAAATCAAGGCTGCTTCTCAGCAATCTGGGTTTGGGAGCCATGAGACTACCTTTACACGCCCTTCCCAATTTCTCACCATTTTTCTATCCTCTCATGTTTTTCTTGATCACAAGGAAGTAGGGCAACTTTTGCACTGCACTGCACTCCAATGCAAGCCTAACGCCAGCCTGATGAGCGAGAGTCCAAACGGCACCCTCACATGGCCTCCCTGCGGCCGGCGCAATGCCACCGGTCACAGCAGGTCCTTGTGACTTGCGCTGAGTTCGACTCAAAGGGAGCAAGGTTGAACAACTTTATATTACTTTTTGTGGCATGATGCAGCTATGGGTAGATCAGAAATTTCAAAATCGAATTGGTGCCTGTGAACTGACTGTCTCATTGATGAATTAGCCATGGCCGCGTTGCAACATAACACACCTTACATTTAGCGGAGTTCCCAACACGGACCAATCTTCGCACCAAACATCATCAATTATCATCTCGGATCTCTTCCTCAGATGGGTACTAATATTATACGCATTGTCTTCACAATCTAACTGCTCCCATTATATTTTCATGGTAGATGTGGATGTAAATATCCCACTGATTATAATATACTTGAGGGCACATGAAAAACAAAACAAATGAATGAATGAATGAAAGGAAAAAAAAAATCTACGAGAAACATGGAGAAAACAACGACATGTAGGAAGACATCACAAGAAAGAAACAGGCGAATTAGGTTTTTTTTTAATGTTATAGAAGGTAGGAACTGGTAGAATTCCTGCTAGGCTCGTTAGATCGGACAGTTGAGTGTCAGCGGTTTTAGCTTACCGTGGCTTCTCCCGACAGCCGCGAGGATTTTGATTGGAGTTGAGGCGATTTATAAGCTACAAAAGTGGGTTGGTTTTGGGTCGAAGTCTCGAAGGGCATAGAATTAAAGAAGATGTTGATTGGAAGGGGGAGGGGGTGGAGTGTGGTCAAAGGGAGAGGGGTTATCGGTTGCGACCGGATTCAAGAGGTTCAACAGACTAGATGCTGAAGGGCCTCGTGGATTGGGTGTGATCGAGATAGATTGGAGGGATGATTTAGTCAAAACGTGATCTGCCGATTTTCTTTCTCCACTTGTGGTGTCATGTTCAGGAATCGGCAAATGGGGCAGAGACTGAAGAACAATCGGGGTGAAGCTCTCTGAGCCTAACTTGGGAGTGTAGGTTGTTGTACTGGCTTTCTCAAGCTGCTCAGACTTCCTACCAGCATCCGCGGGTTGAGACACTGCCCGAGCAGATGATTTCAACCTGATGACATTGGTTCCTTGTCGTCCAGTGTTGGATGTCTGCGATGGCGGTAAGATGGGATAAGATGCTGAAGCGCCTGCATCCCGAGTATCCACGTTGCTTGCCTTGATGTCCTCGGTCTTTCGTAATTCTGAATGAGACAGTGGTGTACTTGATTTGCGTTTCCTTGGGCCCAATATCGGTTCTCGAGAAGGACTAAGCTGTACGATCGACGCTGATCCACCAACGTCGATTTGCGCAACAACAGGCAAACGGTGAATGTGCGAAGGGGAGGATGATGAAGGGGTGCCAACTCTTTCGCGATGCGAGATTTTGGGAGAATTCAATTTACCTTCGACCTCAGCTTCCTTGGGGTCGACAATTTCCGGTGGCCTTCCATAATGCCTATTCATATTCGTGTCTTCCTTCAGCTCACCGGTGTGATTTGAATCCGAGGGTGGGTCTGCTGTGATAGAGTGTGGCGTAGAAACCGAGGTCGGAGGTCTGGGAAGCCCAAATGAGTTCAGGTGTTGCATCACAGAATCACGCTGATCGACGGCAAGCTGCATGTTTTCCGACGGGGGGATGGAAGGCTTGTTCACGTCCGGTTGCGCGGCAGGAGTAGATACGCGGGGAGTGGGCGCAGCGCGAGAACTCATACCAGATAGTACTGGTTTGTTGTCCTTAGCCGGCTCACGGGCATCTAGAGATTTGCGGCCCGGCCGGGAAACCGGCTTTGTTGGTAAGTCACTTGTTGTACTACCGTGTTCAGTTTTCTCATTCTCGTCACAGTCAATACTGCTCTCGTTAGCCATTGAGGATTCGAGCTGCGACTGAAATGAGTTGTCATTCTGATCCTCTCGGTTATCAGCAGAGGCGTGTGCAAGCTTAATTTTCTGGGCCAGAGGCAAGGCAGCACGAGTCGCTTCAAGTAACGCGGTTGAAGGTTTCCTCTGTTGTGGACGATCGTTTAAAACGGGCGAGGAATCATGAGCACTCATCAAAAGCAAATTGCGAAACAGAAGAAGGTATAAGCTGGACAAACCTTGCGGCCGGATGTGCGCTGTTCAATTGAACTCGTATCGACAACCCGGCCAGCCTTCACCGATCGAGAATTAACGCGCATTAACATGGTTTGTAGCTCTTCATCAGTATACTTACACCGTAATATTTTCTGACTGTCGCCGAAGATGTGCGCATGATTAAGGCACGATACGTTGGGGGAATCAGGACACGTGAGTTGAGACAGAAAAGCAAATGCTTTACAATGGTGACATTGCACCTGATCTTCCGGTAGTTCAGCTGGCTCGATCACAATGTCAGGTGATAGGTTGGCAATTTGGGTTAGCGCAGTTTGACGATCGGCAATCTCTCGTTCAACCATATCGCGAAAATGAGGCAAAAGCCTAAACAGAATAAGATCGTCCCAACTTAGTGTCAAAATGTTTCAGTAGGAAAAGCTGGAAAGAAATTAGGAAGATGATAGCTAACCAGCGGGAAACTTTAGGGCCTTTTTCGTTAAGAAATATCGTCACCAGAAGCTCATCGTGCGAAAATACTGGCATCTTTTGCAAGGCTTTGTAGTGCTGAACACATAATTTGCCCTCCGGTAGCCAATCGGGTAAGCAGAAGTTTACAGCTTCATTGAGGTTCAAGCCATGGTTGAAGCCTGAATGATACGAGCGGGGACAGGTGATCACGAATTCGTTGGGCCGTTGGTCGCAAACGTAAGTCTGAACACCTGCTCGCCCCAGGCGGGCCGGAGACATCAGTGTGACCAGTTGAAACATCAAGTCAGGCTGTTGCTCAAACAGCTCAGGAGCAGCTGTCTTCATCGCCTCCTCCAACTTGGTGTCCTCTTCACCAGGAACGCCGTACCAGGTCTTTGTGTCGCCCCAGTGATGATAATTAATGCTGAAAAGATGCAAAGGTTCAGCCATCCCGGATGATATGAATTAACTTCCGTCGAGACTACCGTAAAATATGAGTCAAGGAAGTGACTTTACCTATACGTATAATGATCTTCCTTATGCCAGGCGAAAGTCGAGAAAAGCATGCCGACATATATCCACGGCTGAGTCATTCCTGCCACATCGGAT